AACTTGTTTTTTAGTACATAGATCTTGGTCCCCAAACTCTCCCCTATTTGTCCAAATATTCTCTTAATACATTCAGACATCAAATATAATAGTTTTGTCTTTGAGGATTTTATTTCTAGAACCAGTCATTTTCACCATCAATTTTGAGGATTCTGTTCACTTCTTTTTTGTATTGGGCCCTCTGTTTCTTCCATCTTGAGTCAGTTTACTCTCCCTGTTCAGGAGTATGTAGCTTCCTGATAATAGGTACATAGAAGGTAAATTTTTTGAAAATGTTCATATCTAAAAAGTCTTCATTCTATCCTCACATCTAATTGATAGTTTGGCTAGTTATAGACTTTAAAAATAATGCTGTGGGGTACAATTCAGGGTTAAGTATACAAATGTTGATTATGCAGGTACCCTTGTTGATGAGGTATGCTCCTCCCTCCCGAACAGTTTCCTTCAACTGCCAATCCCACCCCCCATGACAGTTTCCCACTACTGCCAATGCCTTTCTTATAGTATTATAATTGCTCAAGGTATGCTTATGAGTGAAAACATATGGTGCTCTGTTTTTTGTTTCTGTGATAGATCACTGAGTATGATCTCAATTCATCCAAGTTGCTGCAAAGTTCGTATGTTTGTCCTTCTTTATGACTGCATAATATCCCATTGTGTATATGTACCACATTTTCTTTATCCAGTCCAGCTTCGATGGGCAACATGGTTGATTCCATGTTTTTGCTATTGTGAATAGAGCTGCAACAGACATACGTGTGTAGGTATCTTTCTTGTAGAATGATCTGAGTTCCTCCGGGTATATTCCCAATAGGGGAATTACTGGGTCACATAGAAGGTCAATTTCTAGTTCTTTCAGAAATCTCCACACTGTCTTCCAAAGAGATTGCATTCCCACCAGCATTCCCACCAGCAGTGTAGAAGCATTCCTTTTCTCTACATCCTCTCCAGCATCTGTTGTTGTTTGTTTTATTAATGATGGCCATTCTAACTGGGATTAAGTGGTATCTCAGTGTGGTTTTGATTTGCATTTCTCTGATGATGAGTGAGGCTGAGCACTTTTTTACGTCTGTTGGCTGCCGCTATATCTTCTTTTGAGAAGTGTAGTTATAGACTTGTAGATTGGAAATAACTTTTTTCTCAGAACTTCACAGGCATTGTTCCATTTTATTCTAGCTTCCAGTATTGCTCTTGAGAAGTCCAATGCCACTCTGATTCCTAAGTATTTTTTAACATGATCTCCTTCTCATCCTGAAAACTTGAATGATTTTTTTTTCTTCTAGGGTTCTGAAATTTCACAATGGTGTGTGCCTTGTGGTTCTATTTTTATATATTTGGCTGTGTACATGGTGTATCCTATCAATCTAAATACCCATGCACTTCAGTTTTGAGAAATTTTCTTGAATTATTTCCTTGAAGAATTTCTTCCTTCAGTTTTCTCTTGTTCTTTCCTTTCAAATCTCTTATTTTTCATTTGTGGAGATCTTCTTAAATGTCTTTCAATAAACTTTAAAATTTTTAATATAGATGTTATATATCTTTTATGGTTTACTTATTTTTTACTTTCTTCAGAAAGATACATATCCTTTATAAGATTTATTCCTAAATACTTTATTTTAGCTGCTGTTATTTATTGTATTTCTAATCTTTTTAAACTTTTTTTTATTTTAAAGATGTGTGGTACAATTCAGGATTAGGTATGCAAGTGGTCATCGTACAGGTAAAGTTTGGGCCTCTCTTTGGTTCCCACTTTGCCTTGTTTGAGATCAGGTACCCTTATTGATGTTGTGTCTCCTCCCACCCCCACCCTGGCAGTATCCTGCTACTGCCAATCCCTTTCTTATAGTATTACATTAAATGTTCAACGTCTGCTTATGAGTGATAACTTAGAGCGTATTTCTCTTATGGTCTATTATTTTTACCTATTATTGTATCAGCATCATATGGTCTTAACTATTTAATATATAATTATAACATATGTTAAGAGTTTTTTCTTTTTTGGCAATTTTTTTTTTTTTTACTCTCATACCTACATTCTTCTAGATTTACTTTGTAATCACTTTTTCAAGTTCTAAAACCGACCTTCAGGGAAAATGAGATGGTAAAGGAATCCTTTAAAATTTTTACCACAGTTAATCTTTCTATTTTTTTTGAGTTGGAGTCTCACTCTGTCGCTCAGACTGGAGTGCAGTGGCTGCTCCCGGCCACCACAGCCTCGACCTGCTGGGCTCCAGTGATCCTTTCGCCTCAGCCTTCCAAGTAGCTGGAACGACAGGCACGCGCTACCACGTCTGACTAATTTTTTTGGATTTATTGTAGAGATGAGGTCTCGCCAAGTTCCCCAGGCTGGTCTCGAACTCGCGGGCTCAGGCAATCCACTCACCTCGGCCTCCAAAAGCGTGGGATTACTGGCCCATAGTTAATCTTTCTAGCCAGCAAAATGGTTTATCTTACCTTTTATTCGTTTTTTTTTTTTTTTTAATGGACTTCAATAATATTTTATTATTTTCTGCATATACCTTCTGGACATTTTGTTGTTTAGTCCTCGATATTTCATAAGTTGGTGACCATTATGTATGTTATTTCATTAATTTTTAGGATTAAATTTTTTTGTTAGAAAACTATTAATATAATTTTTATCAGACAACTGAGTCAACTCCTTTATTTGTGTTCATTTAGTTATATTGAGTTTTCTAGGTAGACAAAAGTTTCCTTTGCAAAGAATCAGCCTGCCTTCTATCCTATTCTCTTTTTTCTGCTTCTTTTCATAGTTAACTAGCTAAAATTTTGTTTCCTGATGACAATTTAACACTGGAGAACAACCTCCTTATATCTGTATACAATGGAGAACAACCTCCTTATATCTGTATAGTACAGATAGTAGTTGTAATAATGTAAGAACTTCATTGCATGCTGTATAACCATAAGACTATAAGGAAGCGGCACCCTTGGAAAACAACCATGTGGGATAATTATATAGAACACTGATTGTGGTGTGGTGCTGCCCTCAAGTGGTTTCATAATAAAATGGTGGTTGGAAAATGATCTCACAGTTGACATGAGTTGTCCTGCTTAGACTCCCAGAAATATCAGAAGGCTCTAGATAGGGAAGATGGCTGGAGGGTCTGTATTTAGATGTGGAAGGTAGAGATGTGATATAAACTAATGCTGTTGGGTTTTTACTACTAATATGGCTTCACTAATATTAGCAAATGGATTATATAAATCTTTAACTTTCTCAGATAAACACTCATTAGACATGAAATTGATTTTTTTTTTTTTTTGAGTTGGAGTCTCATTGTCGCCCAGACTTCAGTGCAGTGGCCGCTCCCAGTCACCACAGCCTCGACCTGCTGGGCTCTGGAGATCCTTCCGCCTCAGCCTTCTAAGTAGCTGGAACTACAGGCACACGCTACCACGCCCGGCTAATTTTTGTGATTTATTGTAGAGATGAGGTCTCGCCTGCCCAGGAGTGTCTCAAACCCGCGGGCTCAGGCAATCCACTCACCTCAGCCTCCAAAAGGCGCCGGATTACAGGCTGAGCCACCGAGCCCGGCGATTTTTTTTTTTTAAAACTGGAGTCTTACTTCGTCGCCCAGGCTAGAGGATAGTGGCACACTCACACTCACGGCCACCCCAGCGTCGACCTGCTGGGCTCAAGAGATCCTTTTGCCTCAGCCTTCCAAGTAGCCGGAACTAGAGGCGCACGCTACCACAGCCCGGCTAATTTATTTATTTATTTATTTTTTAATTGTAGAGACTATTTATTTATTTTTTAATTGTAGAGACAAGTTGTCTAGCTGGTCTAGAACCTGCGGACTCAGGCAATCCACTCACCTCGGCCTCCAAAGTGCTGGGATTACAGGCTGAGCCATCAAGTCTGGACCTTATTGACTAACTTTATTTGGTATGTCATGGGAAAGTTTTGGCCATGATATCATTAGGAACTCAATAGGTTCAGATTAACAATCTCTTAGGAACCTAGTTTATATCACAAAGTTCTCTTTTGGTATATCCAGTTAACACCAGGCAAAGGGTTCCCCGGTTATATAGTTGACCATGGGAGGCATCCATACTGAAGACACCACACTGCTCCTCTCTCATGCCATCCTGCATCACTTAACTGAAAGTCCACTGCCCAGAACAGGAAACCATTGTTCATCTTTTAAGGTAACTTTCACTTTTGGGAGCTTGACTTTCTGAGTAGTTTCTCAACGGAACTTACATTTTCCTTTTTCTCTCTCCACCCAGGAGCGTGTTGAAGAATTGAGAGCATGCTTTATGTTCCCTCCTGTGGCTCAGAAATTGTTAAAGCTCTCACACAATTAGCTAAGAGTCTAGAGTAGCCCAAATAAGGCAGGGTGGGGACAACGAGAAGAAATTTATTCTAGCAATTAACTATTAGCCATGGTGTTTCTTAATGTGTAAGATATGTCACACTTATCAAGTAGATACTTTGCCATCTAAATTTCACTGTAATTTTATAGCAACCATGTATGAATAAATGTAGGTTGATAGAGTTAGTCTCATTTGTAGGTTCTGTAGATCATCTCCGTTCCCTACGTGTCAAAGACTCTGGGGGGTTAATTGGAGACTTTAAGAGGTAAAAAGAAGCAGAGAAGAGAAGGGTCAGCAGAAGTCAAATACTTTTATTTCTTTAAAATCTTGCTTTAGATTACTTCCGGTTATTTTGAAGCATAAGACCACAAGATATTTTCCTCCATTGATTAATTTTTATTGATAAAGTATAAGCCATGACAACTCTTTTGGGGTATTTGGATACTCCTCAGTATACTAAATAATATTAAAATCTATTGCACTGTAACCTATGTTTCAATATTATCCTGCATCCTATATGTGCACAGCACAATGAAAACTAAAAAATTTAAAATGTGTTTGAAAAGCCCATGTGTATCTATTGACTGATTACAGTAACTGTCTAGATTCCTTTGTATAACTTTTAGATTTCTTATTCTTTTATATTTCTTATTTCTTTTCAGATTTATATATTGATGATGAAGAAATAATGTTTGTAGATAATTTGATGTCCTATAAAAATCACCTGCCAACTTTGAATACTCTCTTGAGTAGACTAAAACTATTTCCAGTAAAGGATCCTCTTTTAGATTTCAAAGAACAGATCTTCACAGAAGCTAATTTTTTCAGGTACTTACTTAATTGCCCAATTCTGTAAATATTTTTAAGAGGAGAAAATAGTCTTTGTATGATCACAAGTTTAGATGTTATTAATAAGACTTTATCATTGCTTTGCCTTGACTATAATTTTAATCATTAAGTGTTTTGATTGACTACATTTAGCATGTGACTTGCTTTTAGTAAACACTAATTTTTTTTTATAGGGAATCTTTCTCTTTTCAAGAAGATTTGGGCGTATTTGTGAAAGAAGATTTTTGTATGGATGAAGAGAACTTTTGTAAGGAGGAACTGGAAGATATAGTAGATTTAAATGAGGTTGTAATATTTGCTTTCAGTAGTAATTTTATAAAATTGAGGCAAATTGACTGTTTACAATTGTCAAATTAAAAAGATTTCATAATGGAATGAACTTGTATCAATTAAGGAATCAAATTTACTTTTTTTTTTTTTTTTTGAGTTGGAGTCTCACTCAGTCGCCCAGACTGGAGTGAGTCACCACCGCAGCCTCGACCTGCTGGCTCCGGCGATCCTTCCGCCTCAGCCTAACAGTAGCTGGAACTAGAGGAATGCGCTACATGCCCAGCTAATTTTTTTAATTTATTGTAGAGATGAGGTTTCGCCAAGTTGCCCAGGCAGGTCTCAAACCCACAGGCTCAGGCAATTCACTCACATCGACCTCCCAAAGTGTGGGATTACAGGATGAGCCACCGAGCCCGGCCCAAATTTACTTCTAAATAGTGGTTCTCAGCATTGGCTGCACATTGAAATCATCTGGGTAGTTTAAAAACAATGTGGACACTTGAGTCCTACCCAGATACATTCTGATCAATTGATCTGATGTGCAGCCCATGTATAGGGAATTTTAAAACTTCTCCTGATAATTCTAATCAGTATACCTGGTATAGAAAATGAAGTAGTGATGTCTAATTTAAAAATTGGATACTGGAGCCAGAACTGCTGATTTATGAGTTATGCACAAACAAATAGTACTAGAGCTTAATAACAGAAGTGCTCTTACTGAGGGAATAAAAATATAGATTGTACAAGACTGAGTTTTATGTGCTGTGTTTAATAAGAACAATAGCATCTTTTGCATTTTAAAGGTCAAATTTCTCAAACATAGCCCTCTTTTTTAACATACAGTTTCAATAACAAAAATTATTATTATGATACTAATATGTAAAGAATTCGAGCAGTTGAGAGTGCAGTAACTCTTTGCAGTTCAGTGAGCTCAAAAATCTAAGCCCATATAGATTAGATGCAGTCACAAAGTTACTTAAAAAAAATTTTTTTTAGGACAACTTAAAATGTTTTTTTTTTTTTTTTCTTTTTGAGTTGGAGTCTCACTCAGTCGCCCAGACTGGAGTGCAGTGACCGCTCCCGGCCACCGCAGCCTCGACCTGCTGGGCTCCGGCAATCCTTCCCTCTTAGCCTTCCAAGTAGCTGGAACTACAGGCGTGCGCTACCACACCCGCCATTTTTTTTTATTTATTGTTGGGCGAGGTCTCGCCAAGTTGTCCAGGCGGGTTCTGAACTCAGGCAATTCACTCACCTTGGCCTCCCAAAGCATGGGATTACAGGCTGAGCCACTGAGCCGGGCCTAAAATGTTTTCTATTTGAAGCTTTTCTTAATACAGTCAAAAGGTATAATTGACTTAAGGCACTTAAAGGGTTTTCTTACAATTAAAATTTTAACATGATGGTAAAAATATTGTTAGCTATTGGTCCTTTTCTTCTAGTCCCCTTTAGCCTCCCGTGTTAACTCCGAGAGTTGTGCATGTAGTCAATCTGACTTGTTGATTGGAACGAAAGAAAAACATAGTCCATGGAGGGCGGTAAAGATACATTCCATTCCATCATTTGTTTCCCTTCTCCCCGTTTATCATCTCTCATCTACTACAGTGATTTAAAAATTTTTTTTTATTTTTTAATTTTTTTATAGAGACAAAGTTCTGCTGTGTTGCCTAGGCTGGTCTAAAACTTCTAGGCTCAAGCAATCCTCCTGCCTCAGTCTCCCAAAGAGCTGGAATTACAGGCCTGAGCCACCACGTCCACCCACAGGGATTTTCATTTAAAATTTTATAAATTTGCTATTAGCTAAAAAGGAGATATTTCTGCATTTGAGATTTCTATGTATCACTAATGTAATGAGTGACCATAATATATATTACTCAAACCATTGCTTACAATGGAATATATATTTTAGCTGCTACAATTCTTTTTTTTTTAAAGCATGTATAGCATTAAAATTTTTGAGTTTAAAATTTGGTACACCATTTAAATAAATATTGTCCATTTGTGAATTCAAAATTATTTATTTGGATCCTCCCTAAAAACTTTCTTGATTTCTTTTTTCAGCCTTCAAGTTTTACTATTGAGTGTGACTCCTTAATATCTACAAGCCTCGAACAAGAAATTGAGATTCCATCACCCTCAGAAAAAGAGTCATTAAACTTAATGCCAGTAATAACAAATTATGTAGATGAAAATGAAAACCTTTTCAAAAGAGGTGAGAATTAATTTTAAAATGTATTACTTGTAAAAACCACTTAAATATGGTTGTTATACAGTAAATATTTTCTGAACCTCCAGATTTTGTAAAAATGTTCTGCAAGTTATTTTTTGAAATCTTAGAATTATTATTTTTTTAAATTTTTAATTTTGAAGATTTGAGGTACAATTCAGGGTTAGGTATACAGATGTTCATTATGCAGGTACCCTTGTTGATGAGGTGTGGTCCCCACCTTCCCTGGCAGTTTCCCACTACCACCAATCCCCCCCACCCCACCCCACTCCCCTGGCAGTTGCCAACTATTGCCAATCCCTTTCTTTTAGTATTATGATAATTGTTCAAGGTCCACTAATGAGTGAGAAAATGTAGTACTCAGTTCTTTGTTTCTGTGATAGATCACTCAGTATTATAGACTATAAACCCATCCAAGTTGCTGTGAAGTTCATAATTTTGTCCATCTTTATGGCTGCATAATATTCTATCATGTATATGTACCACATTTTTTTTTTTATCCAGTTCTCTTTTGATGGGCAGCATGGTTGGTTCCATGTTTTTGCTCTTGTAAATAATGCTGCAATAAACATGTGTGTGCAGGTATCTTTTTCATAGAGTGATCTGAGTTCCTCTGGGTGTATTCCCTGTAGAGAGAGAGATTGCGGGGTCATATGGAAGGTTGATTTTTAGATCTTTTAGGAATTGCCAAACTGTTTTCCACAGAGGTTGTACTAGTTTACACTTCCATCAGCAGTGTAGAAGTGTTCCCTTTACCCTACATCCTCTTCAGTATCTGTTGTTTTTTGAATTATTGATGATTGCTATCCTAACTGGAGTTAGGTGGTATCTCAGTGTGGTTTTAATTTGCATTTCTTTGATGACTAGTGAGACTGAGCATTTTTTCATGTATCTGTTGATTGCTCATATGTCTTCTTTTGAGACGTGTCTGTTCATAACTTTTGCCCACTTTGTAATGGGGCTGTTTGCTTTTTTTTCTATTTGGCACATTTGAGTTCCTTGTAGATCTTAGATGTTAGACCTTTGCCAGATATACAGTTGACAGATATTTTTTACCAGTCTGTGGGCTGTCTCCCTGCTCTCTTGATGGTTGCTTTGGCTTTGCAGAAGCTTGTCAGTTTGATGAGGTCCCACTTGTATATCTTATCTCTTATAGCATGGGCACTTTGGGTTTTGATCAGGAATTAGTTACTAGTTCCAATTTCCATGAGGGTGTCTCCTGAGTTTTCTAGGGTTCTTATAGTTTGAGGTTTTACGTTTATGTCTTTGATCCATTTAGAGTTGATTTTTGTGTATGGTATCAGGCAGGGGTCTTGTTTTAATCTTCTGTATGTGGTCAGCCCATTTTCCCAGCACCATATACTGAGTAGGTTCTCCTCTTCCCAGTGGTTGATGGTGGAGACTTTGTCAAAGATGAGTTGGTTGAGAAATTGAGGTTTTGTTTCTGGAATCTCTATCCTGGTCCATTGGTCTTTATGCCCATTCTTGTACCAATACCAGGCTGTTTGATTATTGTAGCTTTATAATAAAGATTAAAGTCTGGGAGTGTGATACCTCCCACTTTGTTTTGTTTTGTTTTTTTGCTGAGGATTGTCTTGGCTATTCGTGGTCATTTATATTTCCATATGAATATCTGTATTGTCGTTTCCAGGTCTGAGAGGAATGTTGCTGGCAATTTAATGGATATTGCGTTAAATTTGTAGATTGCCTTGGGTAGGATGGACATCTTAATAATGTTAATTCTTCCAATCTATGAGCATGGAATATTTTTCCTTTTGTTTGTGTCATCTTTGACTTCTCTGAGCAGTGTTTTGTAGTTTTCATTATAAAGGTCTTTCATTTCTCTGGTTAGGAAGATGCCAGGATATTTCATTATTTTTGTGTCTATTGTGAATGGGATTGTGCTTTTTATGTGGGTTTATGTTAGTTTATTGTTGGTGTATAGGAATGTGACTGTCTTTTACACATTTATTTTATACCCTGAGACTTTGCCAAAGTCCTTTATCAGTGCAAGGAGATTTTTGACAGATTCTCTTGGGTTTTCAAGGTATAGAATCATGTCGTCTGCAGACAGGGATAGCTTGACTTCCTCTTTTCCTATTTGGATACTGCTGATCTCCTTCTCTTGTCTCATTGCTCTAGCTAGGACTTCTATGTTGAACAGGAGGGGTGAGAGTGGGTATTCTTGTCTTATTCCAGTTTTCAGGGGTAGTGGTTTTGTTGAGACTTTTCTCATTGTCATTCTCTTTATGTGACTTTTGGGCTTAAAATTTCTCTAAAACTAATCTTTCAAGAGAGTTATACAAATAAAGCTAAGACACATATGACTATGCTAATTTCTAAAGTTGTTTTCTTTTTTAAAATCTTTAATTAGAAATTAGTTCTTGCTCTGTTGCCTGGGCTGGTCTCAAACTCCTGGCTCAAGCAATCCTCCTGCCTCAGCCTCCCAAAATGTTGGGATTACAGGCAGAAGCCACTGCTCCTGGCCTAGAGTTGTTTTCTTATATACAATGAAACTTCTGACTTTAGTTTTCTTACTATAGTTAACTGACTTTAGTTAACTATAGTAAGGCTCACAGTAAGGAGCTCTGAGTAAGGATACATGGAATCCGACAACCAGGAGAGCCATAACCTAGAATTTAGATGTTTTCTTCCACTTGGTAAATACTCTTGAGTTATCTTTAATGATAATATGAGCCCAAATATTTAACTGCTGTCTTATAAATTCCATTTAAAATGATCGAAGATATATAATATCATGGAGGAATGGAAGTGGGTCTGTGATATCCATTGAGAATAGGGATACTTGCCATCAACAGACTACAGACTTGAAGGACTTCTTGCAGATAAAACTAAATCAAGGGAGTTACTGATCAGCCTACAACTCAAAGCAAGAGAATGAAAATCCAACCTGAGAAAGTGGATCAAATCAGTATCAGAACTTGAAAATATATCAGAGCTCAAAACTTTAGGGTGAACCAGGAGCACTTTTTGGCAGGACACAAATCTCAACACTATAAATGCTAATGGAAAAGACAAGTACTTTACTGAGCAACTGTACTGCTACACTCCCAGCCTTCACTTGGCTTGGATGCTGTTCTCAGGGTCATTGCCACATAGAACTTCTAACAGAACATTTTGCAAGTTATTGAAAGGTCAGGGGGTGTGCAATGCCCTAGGTACCTTTATGTCATGACAACAATAACAATAAAACTGTTTAGTATGACAATAAAGTTGCCTGCCATAAGAATATCTCAAGCAATGGCTCCCTACTTATTTTCCATGATCAAAGGGTAAGTTAAACTACCTATAGATTTGTCTACTCTGAACATTTAATAAAAATGAAATCAGATAATATGTGGTCTTTCTGATTTCTTTCACTTAGCATAATGTTTTCAAGTCTATTAATATGATAGGGTGTCTCCGTATTTCATCCTTTTATGGCCAAACAATATTCTATTGTATGAATATATCATATTTTGTTTATCCATACCTCTGTTGATAGACATTTGGGCTATTTCTAATTTTTAGCTATTATAAAAAATCCTGCTGTGACTATTCATTTACAAGTTTTTGTGCACATATGTTTTCATTTCTCTTGGGTATGTACCTAGGAGTAGAATTGCTAGATCACATGGTACTCTATATTTAACTTTTTGAGGAATTGCCAGAATTTTCCAAAGTGATTGCACTATTTTTCATTTTTACTAGTAATGTATGAAGGTTCTAGTTACCCATGTTATCTCCGAAACTTATCTTTTTGAATAGTCATCTTAGTGGGTGTAAAGGGGTATCTCATTGTAATTTTAATTCACATTTTCCAGATGGCTAATGATTTGAGCATCTTTTCACATATTTGGTCATTTGTATATCTTCTATGGAAAAATGTCTATTCATATCCTTTGCTCTTTTGTAATTGGGTTATTTTTCTGATTATTATTGAGTTATCAGCTTGTCCCATTTGTTTTTGCTTCTTAGTCCCTCCTTGTCTGCTTTCTTTTGGATTATTTGAATATTTTAAAAGAAGTGTTTTATGACAGAATTGTATACAATTAAGATATATAGCATTATGTTTTGATATACATTGTGAAATATTTACCAAAATAAAGCTAATTAACCTATCCATCACATCACATAGTTACTTAGCTTTTTTGAGTGTGGTAAGAATACTTAAGATCTACTCTCTTAGCAAATTTCAAGTATACAGTACATTTTAATTAACTGTAGTCACAATTCTGTATATTAGGTCTTCAAAGCTTATTCATTTTATAACTGAAAGTTTATACCCTTTAGCCAAACTCTCCCATTTCTTCTACTCAACTCTTTTCAGCCCCTGGTAACCATTCTTCTACTCTGTGTTTCCATGAATTTGACTTTTTTACATTCCACGTGTAAGTGAGCTGAGGTAGACCTGTCCTCTAATTCTTCAAGACTATAAGACTGCATATTTTTATCCAAATTCTAGTTGCTGTAGGTGGTACCAAATAGGTCCTCCTTTCAGGTGAAAAGCTGTAAAAATGGGAAATTCACTCATTGTCAATTCCCTTTCAGTTTCTGCCTGCTTTAGACTACAGCGCTTTTAGGTAGTCATTTTATGCATTTTGTTCAGAGTTATAAATGTTACCTATAGGAGGATCAGTCCAATAGAATCTATTGCCAGAAGCAACATTCCTTTCACTTTGTCATATATGTCACTTTTAAAATCTTTTTATATCCTAGAATTCTACTAATAACTCTGAACCACAGATGAATTTTTCCTCTCCTCTCCTCACTTTATACATTTTAGATATGTTTACTGTCATTCTAATAGGATATGGGAGAGTTTAATATATGTGTTTTCTGCTACCTTAAACCAAAAGCTAGAAACATAATTTTGAAAAAATAATAATTATCTCGTTTGAAACATAGATTAATCTAATAAAAGCTGAGATCCAGGAGAAAGGAAGAAAGTTTTGGTCAGAAAATATGCTAAGTTTCTCTTTTAATAGAGGAATTGAGACACTGCTTTTTCAATTGTTTAAAAAATAAAGATAAAATATGCATTTTAAATTATTTTTAATGATAATGCATGGATTTAAAATAAGATGTATAACGTCCAAACCAATCGAGAAAAAAAAAAAAACTCTGAGCAATATAATTAATTCTATGGAACATAAAGGAGAACAAAGAAACAAAAAAGAATTAGAAGCATAAAATAAGATGATAAAAGTACCACCTTTGTCTGAAGAAATGTAAATGGTTAAACTTCTTTATTAGATGTAATCTAATTCTTAGATTAAATATAAAAGCAAATTTAATGACTTTATTTCTATGATTCAGTCCAATTGCAAGACACATTATCAGCTTAAGAATTTTTAGGGAAAAAAACAAAAAACGTAAGATGCATCACAATTTTGCAAACAATAAAATATGAAAAACTATGTCTTATACTAAAAAAAACTACCATGTTTGTCCTTCACAAGAGTTTTGCCTTGAAAGAAACAAAAAACAAAAGATAAAAAAGAGATAGGCAAATGTGTCCTACAGCTATAAAAAGAAAGAAACAAGGTTGGATGCGGTGGCTCACACCTATAATCCTGGCACTTTGGGAGGCCGAGGTAAGAGGATTGCCTGAGCTCATGGGTTCAAGACCAGCCTGGGCAACTTGGCGAGACCTCACCTCTACAATAAATCAAAAACTTAGCTGGGCGTGGTGGCACATGCCTGTAGTTCCAGCTACTTGGAAGGCTGAGGCAGAAGGATTAGCTGAGCCCAGCAGGTCAAGGCTGCAGTGGCCGTCAGCATGCCACTGTACTTAGCCTGGGTGACAGAGTGAGATTCCAACTCAAAAAAAAAAAAAAAAAAAAGAAACAGAGAGGAATGAAAGAAAGACAAAATGGCAATATGGCAGTGTTTACATAAGAAAGTAGAATCTAGCTAAGCGGGGCATAGAAAGTCATCATATACTTATAGAGATAAAATCTTTCTGTGCTCTCATTCTTTTGAATTTTGTGGCTTATGGATTTCCCTTCCTATCTTAGCTTCCAATGATTATGTAAATTTTCCCAATTTTATTTGCCATTGGTAATTTTGATTGACAGTTCGGAGTAACAAGTGGTATACATGGGAGAATAGTTATTCACCTAAGACAGCATTTCTCCAGAAGTCTGAATCTCTACTTCTCTCTAAAAGGAAAATTGACCTACAATAAAACAATGAAAATACTTGAAAAGGAAAGACCACTAAACAAGTTTACTTGTTTAAATAGTTTAAAACTACTTTAGTGGTACTTTTACTGATGGTAAAGTTTCTTCCTTTTCTTTTCAGATCTTACTACCAAGCACGGAATTGATATTGAGGATATAAAAGTCAGCTCCACAGAGATTTTGACCACTCAAAGCCAGGGTGAACCAGAATGCAATGAACCAGGTAGAAATTTTGGATAAATAATTTAGAGGTTACCCATTTGTGATGTAAAATTACAATACAGTCACATATACAGTTTACTAAGAGTTGGTTTTTATGTTTAAAATTTGATTATTATAATCCTAGTTTTCATTTTTTTCTCTTATCTGACCCTTTATATTTACTGCTATCATTAACTCAGAATCTTACCAGCATCAAAACTGAATAATATATAGAGGAGAGTTAGAGATTGTGGAAAAGGAATGGGGTCACAGCATTAATATTAAAAACAGAAATCTTAAACTATTATAGCTCAGTAAAGAAAATTTTATATTTTATTTCAGTAATAGCAATCTTGCTGACTGAGTCTCACTCGGTCGCCCAGACTGGAGTGCAGTGGCCACTCTCGGCCACTGTAGCCTCGCCTGCTGGGCTGCGGCGATCCTTTCCACCTCAGCCTTCCGAGTAGCTGGAATGACAGGCATGCGTTACCACACTCGGCTGATTTTTTGATTTATTGTAGAGATGAGGTCTCGCTGCCCAGGCAGGTCTCGAACCTGCGGGCTCAGGCAATCCACTCACCTCAGCCTCCCAAAGGTGCAGGATTACAGGCTGAGCCACTGAGCCCGACTTGCTGACCTTTTTAAAATAAAATTTGTTTTAGAGACAGAGTCTCACTCTGTTGCTCAGGTTGAAGTGTAGTGGCCTGATCATAGTTCACTGTACCTTCAAAGCCCTGGGCTCAAGCGATCCTCCCACCTCAGCCTGTAAAGTAGCTGGGACTTCCTGTGCATGTCACAATACCTGGCTAATTTTTAAAATTTTCATAGAGAAAAGATCTTGCTTTAAAAAAATTTTTTTTATTTTAAAGATGTGGTGTACAATTCAGGATTAGGTATACAGCTGGACATAATACAGGTAAAGTTTGGGTCTCCCTTTGGTTCCCACTTTACCTGGTTTGAGATCAGGAACCCTTATTGATGTTGTGTCCTCACCCCCACCCCGGCAGTATCCCGCTACTGTCAATCCCCTTCTTATAGTATTGTGGTAAAAGTTCAGGGTCCGCTTATGAGTGAGAACATGTAGTCGGTTATTTTTTTCTGTGATAGATCACTGAGTATGATAGTGATGCATCCAAGTTGCTGCACAGTCCATGTATTTGTTCTTTTTTGTGACTGCGTAATATTCCATTGTGTATATGTACCACATTTTTTATCCAGTCCAGTTTTGATGGACAGAATGATTGGGTTGTGTTTTTGGTATTGTGAGTAGTACTGCAAGACCTCACTCTTGTAGAGATTAGTCTCAAACTCCTGGCATCAAGTGATCCTCCCACCTTGGCCTCCCAAAGTGCTGAGATTACTGGTATGAGCCATAGCAGCTTGCATGCACTTTTTAAAAATTAAAAATTTGTAATCTCAGAATCATCTTTTGTTCCAGTACAGTACCAAATGCCGTTGCTTCTTGATTATATTGATGACATTGTTACTTAGTTACATTTATAATTGGGTCGCATTAATCATCTATTTGGAGTTTACTGCTTTATTTATGAAAGTGATGAAACCACACTAACTACTTATCAATAAATGATACCAGTTTTTCCCATCCTATAAATGTATAGCTCTGTGCTAGCCCATCTCAACAAGGTGAAATCCAGACTCAATAAAATGAAGAATTACTCTCCATAATACTATTTGCTTATCATCACCAATATTAGCATGGAAGTAAAAATAATACTATCTTGCAAGTACTGACATCATAAGCTGTCAGAATTAAAAGACTTCATATACATAAACCTCTTATAATTTATGTAAATACATAAGTAAGATAAATTATACAGAAGGAAATTTAAGACTTATTTTATATCTCTAGTAACTCTAATTTCATTTTATTGAAATATTTTTGTTGTAACAGAATGATCAAACATAATAGTTGCTTCCAAGAAGTTCTAAATTATACTTAAATTTATTCAATGTTTATATAACTTTAGTTTTTCTATATTCCAGGTGAGTTGGAATTGCCACTATCTCAGCTACAGCTAACAAGCTACCGTTCTTCAGTTAATTCATTGAGTACAGGACTTCAAACACTACCATTTTCTCCAGTTTGTAAAATGTAAGTAAAGATTATATCTAGAACCCAAGTTGCAATTCAGAACAAGCAGTCTTTAGTTAAATCTCTCCATATAAAGGCAATTTCCAGGATGCCACTGCAAAAAAAAAGTAAGAGATAGTATAATATCTATAGTAAGTAACTAGAGGAAATATGTTTTCTTATGTATGTGTATGTGTATTTATGCATGTATGTATTTGGTTTTAAATACGATGAGTGTATTTACAAGGGGATGCAAGAAACAATTAACATTTTTTTGTTCAGAAGGGAACTGGGTAACCTAGAAATATGAGTAGGAAATTTTTCACAATATAATCTTTTATACAGTTAAGTATTTTGAATGTGAATATATCACTATTAAAAATAAATAACTTGAACTTTTTAAAAGATTCTGGCACTGGAATAATATGCTTAGGACATTGCCACTGAATACTTACTAATGGCACTGGCTTTATTGGCACTCACTACCATGAAAGGCAGTGTAGTATTAGTTTTCTGGGGCTGCTATAACAATTACCACAGACTGGGTGGCTTAAACAACAGAAGTTAATTTTCTCGTATTTCTAGAGGCTATAATTCCAAGAACAAAGTGTCAGCAATATTGGTGTCATTCTAGGGCCTCTCTTCTTGACTAATAGGTGATCATTTTCTCCTTTTGTCTTCATATGGTCTTTCCTCCATCATTGTATCCTAATATCTTCTTATAAGGGCACCATGTTGAATTAGGGTGCACCCAAAAGACCCCATTTAACTTAATTACCTCTTTAAAGGCCCTGTCTCCAAATACAATCACATTCTAAAGTAGTAAGGGTTAGGGCTTCAACATGTGAATGTTGTGGGGATACAATTTGGCCCATAATAAGTGATAAAAACCCCTGTCCTAGAGCCAGATTGCCTGCTCTATCACTTAATAACTCTGCAACCTTAATTGTCCTATGCCTTAGTTTCTTTATCTTTAATTCTGGGATGATAATAAGAATATCTACCTCTCAGGGTCGTTACGAGATCTTCTAAAGGATTTATCATAGTTCTCTGGCCAGGATTAGCCAAGGATCACAGAGCTGCGTAGATATCGTTGATTGACAGATTTAGCTATCAATTTACTCCCTTTGGAGTACCATGGATCATAGCCTATCTCTAACAGAGGACATCCACTGACATTGTTAACCTCTGTCAGTGTGATATTAGTGTTGGGGGAACCAGACATGAGAACCAAGGATTGATCCAACATTTGTTTAATACCCAATATTACTGCACAGAATAGTCTGTAATCTTAGAACCGATATCGCAGGGCTACATGATTATATTTTAGTTTGAGCCAAAATTAGTCTGCTATCCTGGAATAAAGCTACCCCATTCCTCTACTTCTTATGTCATTATAAGAGTAGGAACATAACCAGTACTGTCTACTGTAAGTCTGGAACTTAATGTGTCTTAAATAACATATTTTCAGGAAAACTGCAGGAAAGTCTATAAGACTCTAATGAATTATTCCAGAACTAGAAACTGGGAGCTGTGTGCTGAGTTTTGCTTTCTTGGGTTATGATTAGCAGATCTGACAAAGGATAGTTCTATTGGATTACTGGGAGCAACTGGAGTCAAGGCTCTAGAATTAATCTCTGGCTGCTTAGGTTTTTATTAGAGCTCCAAGGAAGGTATCAAAGCATAAGATGAGGAGTATGGCACTGAGGGCCCCAAGTATATCTTCATATTCTGGTTAAGAATTATTTACATATGTGGGGTAAATTTGTGCTATAGAGAACTCTACCATGAACTGGGACTTGCCCATATCAGATATGAGCCCTAAAAATAGCATGAGACAAGTATGGAGACTATGTATAATTTGTTTAAATGTTTTTAGTTCCTTTATTAAGGTGCAAGATATTTATTTGCAGGGTATATGCTATCTCTATTGGTGCTCTTTTCCTTTTATTTACTTCATATACTCTAATTCATCTGTTAAGGCAGATTGGCAATAAAACAAAACTAGCAGAAATTAGTAATCTTGAATTTCATCTGATACTAAAAGTATTTAGACTATAATAAAGTTTTTAAATCACAAGTCATTTGTCTAATGTTATAGCTCAAATATCTAATAAGAATTTATTAAATGATTCTTACCTAATTAATTATTATTTGGCAAAATTAGAACAAAAAAGGCTTTAAAATTGGCTAATTAGAACCACTTGAAACAAGTGAAAGAAGCTGTCTTGTCACTACTACATTCACCAGCAAAAGTTAAATCACTTCTGTTTGTTTGGTGGCTACCAAGTCCTTATTTCATTTCATTTCATTTATTTGAGTTGGGGTCTCATTCTGTTGCCCAAGCTAGAGTGCAGTGACATGATCACAGTTCAACACAGCCTTGATCTCCTGAGCAGGCAATCCTCTCACTTTAGCTTCCTGAGTAGCTGGGACTAGGTAAATATCATCATGCCCAGATAATTTTTTGATTATTTGTGGAGATGAGGTCTTGTTATATTGTCCATGTTTGTCTTGAACTCCCGTCCTCAAGTGATCCTCCTGCCTTGGCCTCCCAAAGTGCTGGGATTACAGACATGAGCCACCACTCCTACCCAAGTCCATATTTTAAAAATGGATTTAGTTTCCCCTTATCCTTGGGAAATAAATATTAATACCTAAAATGGGTGCCAGAAACCACAGATATTATCAATCCAAATCCTGTATATACTGGTTTTCTCATACACACACACACACACACACACACACACACACACACACACACACACACACACGTGTATGATTAAGTTTAATTTATAAATTAAGCACAGTAAGAGATTAGCAACAGTAACTAATAATGTAGTAGAACAGTAATAACAAATGCCACCATCACTATTCTTGTGCTTTGGGGTCATTATTAAGTAAAATAAGAATGACTTGAATACAAGCATTGCAGTTCTACAACAGTTGATCTGATAGCCAAGAAAGCTACTAAGTGACTAATGGGCAGGTTGTGTATACAGCTTGGATATGCTGTGCAAAGGGGTGATTCGCATCTTGGGCAAGATGGTATGGGATGGTATGAGATTTCATCACTTTGCTCACAACAGTGTGCAGTTTAAAACATAGCTTGTTTCTTTCTGGAATATTCCACTTATTATTTTTAGACCACCATTGACCATAGAAAACTGAAACAATTAAAAGTAAAGTCATGAATAATGGAGACTACTACATACCTCAATTGTAAAACTAAAAACAAAGAAAAGAAAGGTTCAAATTAAGAGAAAATCTGGGCACAGTGGTTCATGCCTATAATTCCAGCACTTTGGGAGGCGGAGGCGAGAGGATTGCCTGGGCTCAGGATTTTGAGACCAGCCTGGGCAACTTGGCGAGACCTCTTCTCTACAATAAATAAAAAATCAGCCAGGTGTTGTGATGGATGCCTGTAGTTCCAGCTGCTTGGAAGGCTGAAGTGGAAGGATGACCTGAGTCCAACAGGTAAAGGCTGCAGTGACTGTGAGTGTGCCACTGCTCTCCAGCCTGGGCAACAGAGTAAGACTCCAACTAAAAAAAAAAAAAGAAAATTAAGAAAAAAGAAAGGAAAATAGTAAGTGATTTTACTGTACCCTTAACTTATTTTTATGGTCCCAATTATTTTTATTTTGGAACACAACATTTGGCTGGAAATAATACCCAGTTAACAAATATCTTTAATACCTTACATATATTAGGCTCTATTCTAGCCTTTATGGGGCTAACAAATAAAAGTCTTTATGGCATAAGATTTTATTACCCTACTAACTGACTACTGACTTGTGACGAAATTTTTATGATCAAACATATATCAAATTCAGACATGTCTTCAAACAGTTCCATTAAGAGTGAAAATATTTGTCTATATTACAGATGGCTTGCCTAAATATTTCCCTTTCTTTTCACCTTAAAATAGTTGACCACAATCTGAGGTGTTGTCACAAACCTTGGTAAGATTTAATAATGGTTTAAGTTCTCAAATTTTCTACCACATGACCAGATTTTTTTATTATGTGGGTAAATTGGATCACTTAGGTATAACACCTAGCTGTCTACAGCCCTAGACTGTAAATTTAACTAACAGGACCTATAATTAGCATGCTCATGTATGTTACATGTGAACAGAGAAACAGAATACCATAAATTATCACTCAAGGGTAGTGTAAGGTTTAGAACACATTAAGGGGTTTGTGAATTAATGGTCTTTTCCCTATCAAAGCTAGTAGCTTCATAGCTACTGATGAGCTGTGATTTACACTAATTATCATGCATATTTTCTCCCTTCTCCCCCCACCATCCCTAAACACACAAACACGAACAGACACATATCATTCTCTCACACACCCACCAAGACTGAAGGACTGGAACTAAACTTTAGGGCACTGCCACCTCTGGCGAAGGTAGAACAGACAAAACTTTTTCATAGTTCTAATCCTTAGCCAATAGAAGCTCCAGAATTTTTATGTAGAATGAACTTGAGGACAGCAATTTTGTAAAAATTTTTGTTGAAGCTGCTATTTTCATAGTAAGCACAGTAATTTTGTTTAGATTGCATTTTGATTTTGGTGGCTTATAGGGTTGAAGCTAGCCCAGTTTACGGAGGGAAGTGCTAAAACCCTACCAAGTCTGTCCCATCTGGTTCCAGGTTCCATTAAGGGAGGTAAAGGCAGGAATGATTCATAAGCAAGCAGGAACAATTAAAGTTTTTACAAATTACCAAACCTTCCTAGAGATGTAGGAAGTAAGTACTGCATTTGATATTTGGGTTTTGGAACTCTACTTCAGTTTACACATTTATAAAATAGAATTAACTTTTCACTTGATTTTGAGTGTAAAAAATACTTAGAAAAAGACTTTTAAAATAAAATTGTATTATAAAAAATACTCAATATTATTAATGTATTAAACTTTAACTCTTCATTTTCAGTACTTTGCTTACTGTTGAAGAATCAGCTAATAAATACCATATGGTGTGGCAATTAGAAAATGGTGGAAGCCCTTTCAACCAACTTTTGCTTACAGGTAAAGATTAATTGCTTTTTGAATGGTATATAGAAAGTATAGGTGAAAAGGCACAGTCAGTAGAAATGTGGGATATCCTTTTTCTTTGACCATTTTTTAACACAAAATATATGAGGGGGGACCCCCCCCCAAAAAACCAGAATCATCCTTTTGGAGGGCAGGCCTATTGTAGAACAGGCTTCTCCTGCTAGATAAGTGCTCTAGGACCCCATTGGCATCAGTGTACTAGCTAGCATTGTTGTGAGAGGTTGTGCTTGGCTTTGGTAAATTTTTTTTTGGAGATTCTTTCAATGTATTTGCCCAGTTTATGATGGGTGATTTACGGATGTGCCTGCCCATACCACACTGAGCATTCAGCAGTTTTTTTTTTTTAACCCAAAACAGCATGATCTCCACAGCCTACTCTCCCTATTCACCTGATCTCACCCTGAGTGACTTTTTTTTTTGTTTCCCCGAAGAAAAAAGTGCTCAGAAGGAAACATTTTGCAATGTGGAAGAGGTAAAACAAAAAACAAAAGTACTAAAAGGCATCAAAGTGGACAAGTTCAAAAACTATTTTGAGCAGTGGAAAAACCATCTTGATAGGTGTATTGCATCAAATGGAGAGTACTTTGAAGGTGATTAACATTAAAACATGTAACAATAAATACACGATTTTTTATAAATAAATTCTGGGTTTTTTTGGGGTCTGCCTCAGATAACTTAGTACAAAGTTAAAATATCCAGATATCTGCCAGAAGGTTCATTATGCTGAAATTCAGGAGTATGTGACAAGATCTTGATCTTGCTGATGTTCTTGGTAATTCCCATACATGAAAAAAGAGAAGAAAAGAAATACAGGTAGTATGTAAAATAGTCCCATATGTATAGTTTATAGTTTCAAGTTTGTGAGTTGCTTGTGAAAAAACAATTTCACATAGTTAATGTTCAAATTAATGTTAGAGTTTTAGTTTCCCAAGCTTGTCAAAAAGGGTTTGTTTGGTTTTTTTTCCCCAAGTACTCTGTTGCCCAGGCTGTAGTGCAGTGGCACTCTCACAGCCACTGTAGCCTTGACATGCTGAGCTCAGGTGATCTTTCCACTTCAGCCTTCCAAGTAACTGGAACCACAGGCATGTGCCACCACACCTGGCTAATGTTCTGATTTATTGTAGAGACAAGATTTTGCCAAGTTGCCTAGGCTGGTCTTGAACTCCTGGATTCAGGCGATCCTCTTGCCTCCACTTCTCAAAGTGCTGGGATTACAGGCATGAACCACCGTGCCCAGTGTTCCAAAAAGGACATTTAAAAACATTTTTAGCAAAATTTATTTATAGTTTAACAAAATAATTTTGAATTGAATAGAAATTTCACATGTATAATAAAAATTTATCTGAGTAAGTTAAACTCTTTTTTGTGTCTGAACTATTCCATTATGGAACTGGAACTCTGTATAAAGTATTCCTTTTCAAAAAAATTGTAGCTAATCACTGAGTTACATTTGGAGACCAAAAACAACGAAAACAGGCACTCGGGGAAGCAAGTAAGCACCAAAGCTGGTGTTCACTCCACACTTTCGCTAAACCCTGGAGACCTTGAGCTTCTGTTCTGATATCTGCATGGAGTGTAAGGTCAAGAAATATCCAACATGGGGAGTCTAATAGGAGACCCCTACAGAAAACTAGGAGTTCAACCAACTATGCTATCAAAATAAGGGCAAACAAAAATAAGCCACCGCATAGACAGGGACACTAAATAAATCTACCTATTTCTACCTTGGAACTGGAGGATAGTAAAAGAAAGATGTCTTCTCTTAAGTATTTTTAACCAGAAGGCAACCAGCATGCTAGTTTGCTGTCTGAATTGAAACCACTTACATGATTTGAAAAATAGGTGGTAGTTTAATTTAAAGTGACTCAGGTTGACAGTGTCCTGCAAAACATGTAGAGAAACAAAAGTAAATCCTTTCTTGAGGAAATAAATCTTTTCTAGAGAAATGCACTTCAACCCATGCTTCAAAGAACTTCCACAAAGTTCAAAGAAAACTGGTTAACAGACAAAAATCACAAAATATGTAGACCTCACCAGTGAGATCCAGCAGAAATATCAGACATCAAAAGCAGATCATATATTGGAAGTATCAGACATATAGTATAATATACATTTAAAGCAATAAAAAAGGTGGGGGCGGGGAGAAAAGAAATATGAACAAGGAACAAGAGAAATGACCAAGCAGCTGTGCAAAAGAACCATATAGCACCTCTAGGAATAAAAAAATGAAACAATTAAATTAAAAGCTCAGTAAATGAGTTTAATAGTATATTAAGTACAGCTGAAAAGAGAAATAATGAACTGAAAAACACATTGGAAGAAATTATTCAGAATCTAATACAGAGAAACAAAGAGATGAAAGATATGAGAAGTTAAAAGATATGAAAGATTGAGTGGGGTTGCATGTATGTCTCATCAGAGATCCAGCCAGAGATAATAGAGAAAATAGGAAAGGTAATTTTTGAAGAGGTTATGACTGAAATTTTTCCAGAATTGTGGAATAACATTAATCCTTAGACCTATCAAGCACAATGATTTCCATGTAGAATGAATAAAAATAATTCCACTCCTGGATATTTCATAGTAGCTGTACAATACCAAAGAAAACAAAGTGATCTTATGAGCACAAAAGAGAAAAATTTAAAAAATAATTTATCAGTGACACCAGTGAAAGGCAATATATTGTGGATTAATATTTTCTATAGGCAGAGACTAAATATCTATCAACCTTGAATCCTATACTCCCTCCCCCCAAAAAAGCATTATTTCATAATGAGGGTCAAATAAAGATATTTCCAGAAAATAAAATCTAAGACATCTTCACCAAAAGAAACTCTAAAGAGTACACTTTAGGTAGAAGGAAAGTAATCTCTGACGGAAAGGCTGAGACAGAAGGAATGATGAGGAAAGATACTTGTATATATGTGCATAACTTATTGACACTATCATCAATAGCAATAATATCTGCTTAGATTTTTTTTCTAAGGACAAAAAAATGCTTGGTTGGAAAAGAAGATATGAGAGTTATAGCCTCATAAAACTCACAATGTTTGGAAGAAGGGTAATATTTTATTTCTTTGCTTGGTGGTGGGTGCATAGTTGTTCATTTTTTTCTTTTAATGTTTATTTATACATATAGACCCTTGTATGTATAATTGTATATTTCACAATGTAGAAATAAAAACAAAGCAATGTAATGTTTGATACATGTATACATCATGTAATGATCAAATCAGTGTTACTAAATGTATTGTTACTAAATTGAAAATGGCCAAACAAGAGTTTTCTTCTTCTACTAAATATTAGAATAATTTTAACTTCTTAGTATTTCCAAAGATTGAAATAAATTATTTATGTGATTTCTATTGCTGTATTAGCTTGAACTATTATAAATATTAGCATCTTGAAAACAAAATACCAGATATATTCTCGTGTCCCTTTTTCTAATGAGTGAAACTACATTTCATAAAGAAAATTTAATGTGTTTCTGTTTATTATGTTTTTGTTTCTTTTGCTTTGTAGATTGTTTCTCACTGTTTGTTTTTGTTTTTTGTTAAGTACCAAGAATTCGAAAGCCCAACAATCAATATTCAGTTACAGATTTGAAAAAGGTATTTTCTATTGAAGAAAGCCATATGGTTAATCCCATAAAGGCAGAGTGGTGGAAACAAGCAGGACTAAATCCAAAAATGACAGAAACTTTGAACTGTCTGAATACTTATTTATGTCATGATGATCTGTCTTCTAATGACACTAAAATGGAGATATATTTGCCTCCAAAAGTGCTTCCATTGGAATGTAAGTACATACTAGTAAATATGAGCTGTGTAAACATTTTCAGAATGAGAAAATGTGAGATCCTGGATTTCCCCTTGGTGATTGGAAAAATCACTAAGTTCCAGCATTCAATATTGGCTCTGGCTCTGTCAGAATATATGACTTTAGGCTTCTCTAGGTCCCATTTTCTTCCTTGAAAAAATGATGAAGTTTGACTAGTTAATCCTACAATCCTGTTCTGTCCTAAGAGTCTATAGTCGTTTTTAAATTTCTAGCCATTTTCAATTAAAGTGATTTTGTTTCCTTTTATGAATCATTAAATTGCTAGAACAGTTTCTGTTTACATCAACCTAGGCACAAGTAGGTTTTGTAGTAACATTTTGTAGTAACTGTTTTTTGAATCTTGACATTCAATATCTAGTCATTGCTCTTCAGCAGTAGAAGAGAGATGACTAGAGATGACTTTGTTATTTAAAAGTTTACTAATTTAGCACTTTTTACTTATACAAATTAAGAAGGCAAAAATGTCCTTTGAGTGTCTATCTTTTGAGCTATTTTGGTTACTGTATACCATTTGGTTACTATACCGTTATAGTAAATGGAACATATTTAGCATGAATTATACCTTTTGAAGTATTTGTGTATTGTTTTAAAATCAGCTGTGCAATTATTAGTAAGTTTCAATCTTAAAGTATTTGGGAAAGTTTATAGTTAATTATAGAGTAACAAATATATTTAAAAGTGAATTTTATAAATTATCTGTATTGAGAGATTGATCTAAGGAGATAAGGAATTGGTATACAAATTCTTATCAGCAAGGAGTGTTTCAGATACATAGAGAGCTTTGAATGTGCTGGGAAGGAGAGTAGACAGACTATATCAAGCAAATGCATTCTAGGCCTAGATGGTACCCATGGTAGAATAAGAATTTTAAATATTAGGTCAAGTTGCTAGACCAGAAAAAGGAAAAAAAAAATTTTTTAAGGGTCTTCAAATATCTAGATAATGATGTGTTAAATCTAGAAAATTATTTAAAGTCTTCATCATAATAATATGCAACTCATTTGAGGTTAAAATAAAACATATCATTCATATTGGATATCCATGATACACAATAGAATTATGATGATAGTATAATTATGAAGTTTAAGAAGCAAACTATATCTGGAGCCCATGGCCAAGTGGATTAGAGTAAGAATAGCTGAAGAGAGAATAATAGAGGAAAATAATCAGAAAAGTGAAATAATAAACAATTCCTATTTACCTGCTGAGCATATCAGATTATCTCTAGAGACTGTCTCAGAGGTTGCAAATTGGTAGCACTCAGGCCCTATTCAGCCCACACATTATTGACCCTATGGTGTTTTAATTAGCTACTAACATTTAAAATTTGGGAGATCTCACATGTACGATCTGTATTTTGAGTTTACCTTTAAAATTCCAAAAACTGGATATAGATTTTCCTATGGAACAATTAGCTGGAGTCATTAGCATGATACCACTTTAGACAGACAATGCACTCTCCAGCTCACTGCAGTTCCCAGAACCCACAAATTGAGGCCAGATGTTAGTTGATACTATACTAAATGTAGAGTTAAGGAGAAAGAAAAATGTTACTATGCCAATATCTCTAATAAAAGTAAAAATAAAACCAAACAAAATTATAGACCACGTTTTGGAAGAATACAAAGTTCATCTATCCAAAGATTATAATTTAAGCACTAGCCATATACTTCACTCATTTACATTATTTAGTTGACCCTGTAGGCATTTGTTTTTTTCAAGTCAACTTTATGAGGTATAATTTACATATAATAAAGTGCACCCATTTTAACTTTACAGTTTGATACATTTTGACAAGTTTTTAAACCTGTGAAACTACCACTACAATTAAGATATAGAATATTTTGATCACAAAAAGTTCCTTTGTGCCCCTTTGCAGTCATTCTCTCTCTATCCTACCTTCTTCTCCACCAACCTTTATCTTTAGTCCCCTGCAACCACTGGTGTACTTTATTTCATTGTATATGTTCTCCTTTTTTAGAGTTTCATTTGTGGAGTTATAAACTCCTTGGTGTCTGCCTCCTACCACTCAGCATAACATTTTTGAGATTCATCCATGATATTGTGTTTCAATATTTCATTTCTTTTTAATGCTGAGGAATTTTTCATTGTATGGATTTACCAGTTTGTTTATCCACTCACCTGAATTTTTCCTTGTTCTTTATTATTATAAATAAAACTGCTGTAATATTCTTGTACAAGTCTTCTGTGGACATATATTATCATTTCTCTTAAGTAAGTTGCTAGGAGTAGAATTGCTGAGTCTTATGTGTATGTTTACTTTTATGTTAAAAAACTAAATTGTTTTCTAAATGATTGCATCATTGTACATTTCCACCAGCAATGTGTGAGAGCTCTAGTTACTATATTCTTGCTAACGTTTAATATTGGAAGTCTTTTAAATTTTAATCATTCTAATGGATGCATTATGATATTTGTGATTTTAATTTATATTTCCCTGATAACTAATGATGATGAGCATTTTATTACATGCTCATTTCTCATATATATATATGAGAAATATATATATATATATCTTCTTTTACTAAAAATATACTGGCATACCTCATTTTGTTACACTTCATTTTATTATTATTCACAGATTGTTATTTTTTTCACAAATTAAAATTTTACGGCAATTTTGCATAAAGCAAGTCTGCTGGCACCGTTTTTCCAACAACGTGTGCTCACTTTGTGTCTCCTTGTCACATTTTGGTAATTCTCACAATATTTCAAACTTTTTCATTGTTATTTTATCTGTTATAGTGATCAATGACCAGTGATTTTTTTTTATGTTACTTTTGTAATTGTTTTAGGCATCATGACCCTGAACATAGAAGATGGTAAATTGAATCAATAAATGTGTGTGTTCTGGTTGCTTCACTAGCCTGCTATTCCCTCATCTCTCTCCCTCTCTTTGGGCTTCTCTATTCCCTTGAGACACAACAATATTGAAATTAGCCCAATTAATAACGTTACAGTGACCTCTAAGTGTTCAAGTGAAAGGAAAAGTTGCATATCTCTCACTTTAAATCAAATGCTGGAAATGATAAAGTTTGGTGAAGAAGTCATGTCAAAAGCTGAGACCGGCCAAAAGCTGGACCTCCTCTGCTAAACCTTTAGTCAAGTTATGAATTCAAAAGAAAAGTTCTTGAAGAAAATTAAGAGTGCTGATATGGAGACAGTTTTAGGGATCTGGATAGAAGATCAAACCAGCCAAGCATTCCCTTAAGCCAAAGCCTAATTCAGAGCCCTAACTCTCTTTAATTCTATCAAGAATTCTATAAGAGAGGTAAGAAAGCTGCAGAAGAAAAGTTGGACGCTAGCAGAGATTTAAGAAGCCATCTCCATAACATAAAAGTGCAAGGTGAAGCAGCAAGTGCTTATTTAGAAGCTGCAGCAAGTTATCCAGAAAGTCTAGCTAAGATCATGAATGAAGGTGTATACACAAAACAACAGACTTTCATGTAGACAAAACTGGTTTCTATTAGGAGATGTCATCTAGGACTTTTATAACTAGAAAGAAGTCAGTGCCTAGCTTCAAAGCTTCAAAGAATAGATGACTCTCTTGTTAGGGACTAATGCAGCTGCTTAATTTAAGTTGAAGTCAGTGCTCACCATTACAAAAATTTTAGGGCTCTTAATTGTGCTAAATATACTGTGCCTTTGCTCTATAAATGGAACAAATCCTGTATGACAGCACATTTCTTGACAGTGTGGTTTACTGGATATTTTAAGCCTACTATTAAGACCTACTGCTCAGAGAAAAAAATTCATTTCAAAAGATCTGCTCATTAACAATGCCCCTGATCACCTAAGAGCCCAGATGGAGATGTACAAGGAGATGAATGTTGTTTTCATGCCTGCTAACAAAATCAAATCTGCCGCCCATGGATCAAGACATCATTTTGACTTTCCAGTCTTATTATTTAAGAAATACATTTTGTAAGGCTAGAGCTCTCATAGACAATGATTCCTCTGATAAATCTGAGGAAGGTAAATTGCACACCTTCTGGAAAGTATTCACCATTCTAGATGCCATTAGGGACATTCATGATCATAGAAGGAGGTCCAAATAGCAACGTTAACAGGAGTTTGGAAGAAGTTGATTCCAACCCTTATTGATGACTTTGAGGGACTTGAGACTTCAGAAGAGGAAGCACATTGCTGTAGAGGTGGTAGAAATAGCAAGAGAACTAGAATTAGAAGTATATCCTGCAAATGTGTTTGAATAAGCTGCAATCTCATGATAAAACTTAAACAAATGAGTTGCTTCAGATGGATGAACAAAGAAAGTAGTTTCTTTAGATAAAATCTGCCATGATGAAGATGCTGTGAACTTTGTTGAATGATAGCAAAGGATTTAGGATATGTCATAAACTTAGTTTATAAAGCAACATCAGGGCTTGAGAGGACTGATTTCAATTTTGAAAGAAGTTCTGTGAGTAAAATGCTCTGAAACAGCATCACATGTTACCGAAAATCTTTGGTGAAAGAGTCAATCAATGTGGCAACCTTCATTGTTTTCTTAAGAAATTGCCATAGCCACCCCAACCTTCAGCTACCACTACCCTGAACAGTCACCAGTCATCAACATTGAGGCAAGACCCCCACCAGCAAAGAGAGTATTACTTGTTGAAAGCTCAGATAAGAATTAGTCTTTTTTTAGCAGTAAAGTATTTTTAGTTAAGGTATGTTCATTGTTTTTTAGACATAATGCTACTGCACCCTTAATAACTTGCAGTATAGTGTAAATATAACTTTTCTATGCACTAGGACACCAAAAAAAATTTGTGTGGCTCAATTTTTTGTGATATTTATCTTGGTGGTCTAGAGCTGAACCCACAATATCTGAGGTATCACTGTCACAGCTTTATTGAGATACAATTCACATACTTTGGGGGGTATGTGAGAGATAGAGAGATTTAGGAGGTCCCTTGGAAGGTGTGATGGCATCGGCGACTCGTAGGGATAGATATTAAAAGAAAGAAAAAGACTGGGGGAGAAAGAAAGAAGCTGGACTCTGTCTAGTGCAGAAGCTGTTTATTGGGTGTATTTATCCCAAATTTTACACAGGCAGTCTTACAAGTCTTCCACATGAACACAAAGCCAGGTGTAGGAGGGGGCACCCCCCCACCCACCAGGTGTTTCCTCAAGCATGAGGAAGAACAATCTCAATTAAATCACAAAACCTTTACATGGACACAAAGCCAGGTGAATAAGGGGGCATCCCTCACCCACCAGGTGTTTTCCTAGAGCAAGAGGAAGGGCAATCCCAATTAAATCACAAGACATTTACATGAACATAGAACCAGGTGGATGAGGGGCGTCCCCCACCCACCAGGTGTTTCCTCAAGCATGAGGAATGAGGATCCCAAAACTATCTCACTGTTCCTCATGCTTGGTTAATATTTCTTAAAAGCAATACAACAATTCTAATATTATAATATTCTAATAATCAGTAACTTTTAAAGCCTATGCATACACAACACCTAATAACCAACCTAAATCCCAATTCCTCCCTATCTTACGCTAATTCTACCTACACTATAGAAACTCTTAATTATAGCCCAAACTAATTCCTAAGGAATGTGGCCCAGTCAAAAGATCACACTTGGCCGTTTCTGGGAACAATTGATTACAATCTCTTAACAAAATTGCTGTGCCGAAATCCTATAAATCTATTTTAACTTTTTATAAAAGTTTCTAATTCCTAATCCTGATCATCAGCAATAAAGCTTCTAAAAAATAAAACCCAAATATAAACTGTAAATAGTATTAAAGCCAAAACCACAAATGTAGAAAATGTTTCTAAAGTTAGCTGTATTCTTATTAAACCTCAAAATATCATGTTTGATCATGCTTGAACTGACATAATTCACTGACATAGTATAACCTAGTCTACAATACTTTCTATGAATAAAATAAATTAAATTTCTATAATAAGTAGTAAAAACCCTATACTAACTGTAGCTAAAAACCAGTTTAAAAGAAAGCAGCCAAAGTACGCACAGGGCCCTTAGGAATGCGGCCCAGCCCAAAAGTTCATGCTGGGCCTTTAGGAATGTGGCCCAGCCCAAAGTTTGTGCTGGGTCGTTTCTAGTAGCTCTAGATATTTATCTGTATTATTAAGGTTGAAACAGCACTTTGTATGTATATACTAATTCTACAAATATACTATTAAATCTTAAAAGAAGCTTGTACTGTATTAAAGGCTCCCAAATGTGACCTGAGTTTGAATTATGTTAAGTTTAAAGCCGAAATCGCAGTCTGTGAGAAACGGGAACAATGGACTCCTAAAGTAAGCCATGCCTGTCGTATTCTCAGGACTTCATGCTTAGATCATCAAAGTCCCTGCTAGTGGATCATGCCAAACAGCAAAGAAGGGAAGAGGGAATGGGCCTTCAGCTCCTGAACTCGTCCTAGCGGTCTCAGGGTCTGCAGCCTGCCTGGATCCCTAACGCTCAGGCAGGCCTCCACAGCCAGCTCCCAACAACATACCATAAAATTGACTCACTTAAGGAATAACATTCTTTGGTTTTTAGTATAGTCACAGAGTTGTGCAATAATCACATCACCACAAACCACTTTAAACCCTTACCATCCCAAAAAGAAACCTCATACCCATTAGCTTTCACTTCCCATTCTACCCAGCTGTGGAAGCACTAATCTATTTTATCTCTGTAAATTTGTCTCTTCATATCAATGGAGTCATACAATACATGGCCTTTTGTGAATAGCTTCTTTTACTTAGCATGTGTTCAAGATTCTTCCATGTTGTAGAATGTGCATAACTTATATGAAGTGTTGTTCAAATCTCTTGCCAATTTTTGAAAATTAGGTAACTTTTTAAATAGTGTATTATAAGAGTTCTTTATATATTTTGGGTATGATCCTTTGTCAGCTACATGTATTACAAGTATTTTCTTTCATTGTGGCTTGCCTGGTAGTTTTAAGTATTTTACCTATAGACTGTTACCTCCAAAACTATGACTTATAAGCAGTAAGACTTTTCTAGAATTTCTTTGCCTGGTAATCTAGATGCTATAGTTTTATATATATGTAAACTTATATATATATATATATATAATATTTTATATATATATAGTTTTATATATATGTTTATCTTTTTTCAAATTTATTTTATTCAGACCAAAAATTGATTTTCAAAGCCATAAACTAAGTACTCTTAAAAATCAAATTATATTAGTAAGAAACCACAATAAACTTTACTACCCTAATAGAATACTCATTTAGGCATGGAGGTCATTTGAATATTTTTATTTTCTGTTTTCAGCATGGCAAGAGCTTAAGAGTTATTCTTCATCTATTGTACTTATTGATGAGAAACCTACAAATGGTCATTTACTACTTCCACAAAAATGTCTATCTCTGGCAAAACAAGTACCAGAGCTGTGTTTTTCTGATGAATATATCTCTGTTAAAAGACCAACAAAAGAAGAAAAACCAAAGAATGACCAAGAGCTTGTAAAGAGAATAATCCAAAAGAAAGAAAATAAAGATGACTATGAACTTGACTGCACAGTACCATCTATTGAATCATCATCATCTTCAAGAATTAAGAAAGCATCTTGTGAACATGGTAAAAAATGGGAGAATGATTTGGACCTTTTGAGTGATTTTATCATGCTGCGAAATAAATATAAGACTTGCACTTCAAAGACTGAAGTCACAGGCAGTAATGAAAAAGATGGTAGGTAATTTAGTAATATTTTGGTATAGATCTGATAGCCTCAAGGACTAAATGCATAATTTATTATTGAAGGAAAATAAATAAAATTCTTCTAGATAAAATTATATCATTTTTTGTAGTCAAGGAAAATGTCACTGATTCATGATACTTCTTGTATATGGCGATAGATATGGATATATTGATATAGATTTAGATATAGATTCCTTCCTTCCTTCCTTCCTTCCTTCCTTCCTTCCTTCCTTCCTTCGTTCCTTCCTTCTTCCTTCCTTTCTCTCCTTATTTCTTTCTTGAGTTGGGGTCTCACCTATAACCCAGACTGGAGTGCAGTGACATGACAACAGCTCACCACAGCTTTGACCTGGGCTCAAGGGCTCCTTCTGCCTCAGGTTCCTGAATAACTGGGACTACAGGCACTCACCACCACTCCCAGCTAATTTTTTTTCTTTCCCCATAAAGATGAAGTTCTTGCTGTATTGCCCAAGTTGGTCTTGGACTCCTAGGTTCAAACAATCCTCCCACCTTAGCCTCCCAAAGTGCTTGGATTGCAACCATGAGCCACCACAGTCAGCTGACAAGTATTTTACAAAAAATGTAAATGTATTTAAATTTGTAACAAAAGCCATTATTTGTAACTTACTTTCTATAACTTAGCCGTACAAATTCATATTATTATTATTATTTTTTGAGTTAGAGTCTCACTCCGTTGCCTAGACTGAAATGCAGTGGCACATTCACGGCCATCCCAGACTCAACTTGCTGGGCTCAGGCAATCCTTCCGTCTTAGCCTTCTAAATAGCTGGAACTACAGGCGGGCACTACCATGACTGGCTAATTTTTTTTTTTTTAATTGTAAAGATGAGGTCTCACCAAGTTGCCCAGGCTGTTCTTGAAACTGTGGGCTCAGGCAATCCCCACACCTCAACCTCCCAAAGTGCTAGGATTACAGGCTTGAGCCACTGTGCCTGGCCAGATCCATATTATTTTTAGCTTTTTAAAATTATTCTGCCATTCTTTTTTCTTTTTAAGCTATCAGTCCTATTTTAATTTATATTTTAATGTGTACTTGAGGACTTTCTTGGCCTACTTAATTGCTAGTACTCTTTCTAACATTACCAAAGAGTTTCTGTTCGGGTTGTAATAGTCATATTCACTGCTTATAACCACATCAAAGGTAGTATAATGTGTCATATCATTTTACCTCTGGTAAAAAGAAAACAGACATTCTAGAATAAATTTGACACAGGTTACCACAGAGAAATAATATTTATATGACTTGGAGCATGATTAGGGCTTACTGTCCCATATACTATTCATGGATACAAGAATTTCACTTTTTTTTTTTTGAGTTGGAGTCTCACTCTGTCGCCCAGACTGGAGTGCAGTGGCAAGCTCCCGGCCACCACAGCCTTGCCCTGCTGGGCTCCAGAGATCCTTCCGCCTCGGTCTTGCAAATAGCCAGAACTACAGGCGCCTGCTACCACGCCTGGCTAGTTTTTGATTTATCGTAGAGATGAGGTCTCACCAAGTTGCCCAGGTGGTTCTCAAACCTGTGGACTCAGGCAATCCACTCGCTTCAGCCTCCCAAAGTGCTGGGATTACAGACTGAGCCACCGAGCCCAGCCAGAACTTCAGTTCTTAATGTCATGATAGTTGCGTATACTTTTCCAAAAGATGTGACAGCCTTTTATAGAACAGCTTAAAGTAATGTGATTGTGTCAATCAGTGCATTTTTTAAAATGAAAAATTTGGTGAAAATGCAGACTAGTGTTTGAAGATTTCAGAACTTTGTGACTCTATGTTTCTCTCCATATATTAAAGTTTCTTTTTATGTAATAATTTGACCACCTAATAACTTACTTTGCTGGATAATAATTCTATATGTAACTAAGATCTTTATAATCAGTATTTGCAACATAATTGAAGTATAACTTCTGATAAATCAAGGAGCAAAATATAAGAATTATTTTTATAAATGTGATACAAAAATATAAATTTTAAGATTTTTTTAGTCTTAGATTTGTTAATGTTTTCAGATTATATTCACATTTGGTATAAAAAAGGAACCCACCCCCAAATTAACACTGACATTGTTTTTCTGGTTGCCATACATATGATAATGGCTTACAATACAGTGTATTAGCAACAGAAAATGAGGAAAAGGGCCAGGTACGTGACTCACACCTGTAATTAAAGCACTTTGGGAGGCAGAGGTGGGAGGATTGCTTGGGCCCAGGAGTTGAAAACCAGCTTAGGCAACATAACGAGATCTCATTACTACAAAATTTTTAAAAAAAAATTAGTCAGGTATGGTGGCAAGTGATTGTAGTCCTAGCTACCTGAGAGGCCGAGGCAGAAAGTCTGCCTGAGTCCAGAAGGTCAAGGTTGTAGTGAGCTGTGATGTGCCACTGTACTTCAGCCTAGGCAGCAGAAAAAAAAAAAAAAAAAAAAAGGAGGGAGGAAAGGAAGGAAGAAAATAAGGGAAAGCAGCAAGAAAGAAGAAAAACATTTTGCCTTTCCTACTGCTTTCCCTCATTTTCTTTTTTATTCTGAGTCTTTATGAGTTAAAAAAAAATTAGCTATTAATCTACTAAACAAAGGAATACCAGTGTTATGTGAGAATGCTTCTGTATTCCTGATGTTTCCCCTCAATTAGTGTTATAGTCTGTCTCTTTGCCCCTTTATACATTCTCTCTAGAGCAGTTTGAAAGAATTATCTGAATTGTAAATTTAGAAATAATAAATTGGGCATATGCTTGTGAGAATTAGCTTCCCTGGAGGAACAGGCATTCTCTTTGGTGTCTGTATTGCATGACTCTTTCCTGGGCAATACCCACTATTCGCTAAACAGTAGGATATCCTATCCAGTCCAGCATACCCCAGGACTAGTTGGGTAACTCTTCCTGATTCCAGTGTTTAATTAGCAGGTTCACTGGATGGATTCTAAAACTAAGCTGTTTCCAACTTAGCCTTTATTAGTAATAGAGGTAATTATTTTGGTATATTTTTATTTCTTGTGTTTATTTCTTCTTCTTGTGTTGCTCTGAAGGGGCAAGAAATGTTAAAACTTCTTAAACCCACTTAAAAATTACAATGATTAGTCCGGGCTCAGTGACTCAGCCTGTAATCCCAGCACCAGGTGAGAGGATTGTCTGAGCCCGCAGATTCAACACCAGCCTGGGCAACTTGGCGAGACCTCATCGCCACAATAAATCAAAAATTAGCCAGGTGTGGTAGCGTGCACCTGTAGTTCCAGCTTCTTGGAAGCCTAAGGTGGAAGGCTCACCAGAGCCCAGCAGGTTGATACTGGGGTGGCCGTGAGTGTGCCATTGCACTCTAGCCTGGGCAACAGAGTGAGACTCCAACTCAAAAAAAATTTTTTAATTCTAGTAATTAGCCAGGCACAGTGGCTCATCTCTGTAATCTCAGCACTTTGTGAAGCTGAGGCGGGAGGGTAGCTTGAGGCCAAAGTTCAAGACTAGCCTGGACAACATAGTAAGACATCATCTCTACAAAAAATCAAAAAAATTACCTGGGTGTGGTAGTGTATACCTGTAGTACCAGCTACTGAAGAGGCTGAGGTGGAAGAATCACTTGAGTACAGGAGTTTGAGGCTGCGGTGAGCCATGCTCATGAGACATTGACTCAAAAAAAAAAATCCAACAACTGAACGGGCGAGGTGGCTCAGGCCTGTAATCTCAGCATTTTGGGAGGCCAATTTTGGATTGCCTGAGCCCAGGGTTTCGAGACCAGCCTGGGCAACTTGGCGAGACCTTGTCTCTACAATAAATAAATAAATCCAATAATTAATATTATTTGATCATGTTTACTCCAGTTATTTATAATTCATTGGAAGTAGAAAGTAATCTATTTTAGGATATACTTCATTATTATATGTTTAGCCATGTATTTAAAGATGGTAATGTGTTCTAAAATTGTCTTGTTTTATTATTGATAGGTGACAGTACAATCTGGTTAAAGTAACTAGACGTGTGTGTGTGTGTGCGTGTGTGTGTGTGTGTGTGTGTGTGTGTGTGTGTGTGTATGAACCCTCTATAATACCTAGCAAAGAAGAAAGAAAACTAATGACTAATGTTTATTGAACACTCTGTGCCAGGCACTAAATTACATCTTAGAGATAAATATGATGCTGTTGCTGACCTTGAGAAGCACAGTGTAATAGAGTAGGTTAGATATACAGGTAGATCATTTCAATAAAATGTAACATGTGCTGGGAGAGAGATATGCACAAAATGCTGAGGAGACAAATAGGAGAGGCACTTTGCTGGCCTGAAAGTTGGGAAGACAGTTACATAAGACTTTTTATAGAAGATGTCTGAGAACTGCAGGGTGAGTGGTAAGAATTGGCCTAGTTAAGAAAGGATGGAAACGGGGAAAAATTGAGGCAGAGGAGAAGATTGCTGGCAGAAGGACAGATATGTGGAAAATCACAGAGAAATTAACTAGAACAATATATGCCTTTTATATGTCAGAAACTATACTTGGTGTTTAATCCTTATAACAATAGTTAAAGTAGGTATATTTATTCATATTTTATATATGAGGAAACTGAGGCTAGTGTCAGAACTGAGATTGAACACTGATCTGATGCCAAAGTTCTTTCCATTTTTACTATTCATTTTCCTATCCAGCACAGTGTTAGGTCCATTGATCCAAATAGTTGTGCAATTTAATGCTGATGTATTTCAATGAAGGAATTTAACAACTGTAATCATATTTTTAAAAAAGCATTAAACTAAGGCAACATTAAGTTTCTCTTGAACAACACAAATTAATATTTTTATTAGAATTTCAAGGTAAAGAAGAATGTTCTTTGACTCTTCAAGAAGAGAATCCTATTGTTTGTTCTAATAGAACCCCAGAAAAAATACATCAGGAAGGGGGAACAGATGTCATAGACATTCAAGCATCAGGTAGGCCACCTTATTTTAAAATGCATTAAATTTGCTTAGTTTGAAAGTCCTTTCCTGGATATCTAGGACATACTTTATTTTCCATGTCATTTTCTCACTTGTTTCAGATATTTCTACATTCCACTCCTACTTTCAAGTTATTTTTCAGACCTGGAATGCCCTGTTCACTGCCTCTATCTCTCCCCATTGCCCTTACCCAGTGCACTAAGTGTTAATTCTACCTTTGTTTAAACTGCTGCTTCTTCCCTACATTAATTGGGGAACAACTGCAACTCCTCTGACTCGTCTGCCCACTCTGGAAAATGAACTGCAAATGGTTGTTCTCTCTTGTTCTCTTACCCACTGTCACAGTGATGTAAATAAGTTATCATTGATTCCTATATTGATTTTTTTGTGTGTCTTCTACTGTAAAGAAGAATATTATTTTACTCCTAAACAACAGCCTGCTTAAGAATATCATGCTTATTATGAAAATCAATAAGGAGATATAAACAGGTCTCAAACATCTTTTCATTCTCTTGGTTCAATTTTATTTATGTTCTCTAGATAATTTTGCAGATCTTTAAATAATGATTCTAATGAGAACTAAGGAGCTTTTTATTGTTACAAATGTATTTGGCTTAAGGTTGTAAGCTAATAGTGCAGAAGGAAAAATTAAACATTATGTGATTCTCTTTACATGAATCTTAATACTTGCCATATCAAATTGGTTACTGAATAAATCCTTTCTAATAAATAATATATTCATAAAATTATTTAATTATATGGGTTTGTTTGTTTTTATTAGTCTATTTAGAATAAATAATTCTCTATCCAGTCTTGCAGTTTCTTACTCAGTTAAGAGTTTAGATAAAAGTTCAGGCTTCCATGAAGTAACATGTTTTAATTGGTGTATCAAAAAGAGCATACCATCTTTATAAAAACATTGCTTTTAATGCTTTTATTTTTGCAGATAGCCAGTGCCAAGCATATTGCCTCCTAGAAGCAGCAGCTGCTCCTATCTTAAAAAAACTTGTATGCCTCTGTACTCTCGCTGCTGCTAACTGGAAATTTTCCACTATTATTTTTGACCAAACAAGGTTTCTCTTAAAGGAACAAGAAAAAGCAGTAAGTGATGCTGTTCTTCAAGGTGAGTGCAAATGAAAGTCACATTATTTTTAAAGCTGTAAGTTTAGAGATTATTATATCAAATTAGTAAAAATTGAGTAAAGAAGATTCAGAAGTCAGTGGTGGATGAAGGAATAACTAACTGTAATCCAGCCTATGGCACCCATCCAGGCCAATACTAGATAGCTAAATAAGGAGAAAAATGCAAGAAATATCAAGCTTCTCAGTGAAGCTTCCAATTGACATATATTACTTGGAAGATTCTTATTGCAGATACTAAGTTAACTTTATTATTGTTAGCATCTGAACCACTCAGTCTTCTCCCAAAAACATGTAAAATCTAGCTTAATTAAAATCAATCCTAGACTTTTTCTTTTGGCCAAGATGGAGTAGCAGGTAGCAGGGACTAGATTTACCCTCTTGCCAGAAATAACAACAAAAAAGACAAAGACAAAATACATGAACAGTTTTTAAGACCCTGGACATCAAGCTATGACGGACAGTGGTTTCTGAGAGATGAAAAACAGGTGAAGCAAGCCCTACCGTTACCCTAGCTTACTGCCTTGAGTTGCCAGGTCATGGCATAGGGGGAAGAACCTGAGGCAGAGGCCAATGGGCAATCTGAGCTGAGGAAACAGAGCTGAGAGACCAGGGACACCAAGACAAATAGAGTTGGAAAATTGAATATTAGAGAGCCAAGAACTTCACACAGAAAGTACTAGAATTGTGCAGAGGACCTCCCTCAAGTACTCAGTAGAGTACTGATCAAAGAATATATGTGAGGTAACGACCTGAGGCTGGGAAACAATCTGAAAGGATTAGAGGGACTAGTTTGCAGTCACACAGGACAAGGAATAATATCTGTTCCCACCAGCTAGACTAGAAAAACCCATAATTCATAGATTAAGTACTCAGAAAAGTCTTACCTCAGTAGTGGGGAATAATTATCCCTAGACTTAGCACCGCTCTGGGCCTGCCTAATAAATCAAAAGCAAGATCCAAAGGATTAAGCTGTTTCCAAGGAACTTAGCTACATTCCATGACAAAGCTAAAGGCAATCTATACGAGTACAAAAATATCTGGTACCTAACAAAGTAACATTCACAGTGTCTGGCATCCAATCCAGACATCCAGATAACCAAGTATACCAAGATGCAGGAAAACACAACTCATAATGAATTCAATCAAAACAAATCTAGAAGTGACAAAGTTATTAGAATTACCAGAGAAGGAAACAAATTTATTATAACTGTTTCTGTATGTCTAAAAAGTTAGAGACATAAAAACGACCCAAACCATCAGGCTCAGTGGCTCAGCCTGTAATCCCAGTACTTTGGGAGGATGAGGCGGGTGATTTGCCTGAGCCCGCGGGTTTGAGACCAGCTTGGGCAACTTGGCAAGACCTTGTCTCTACAATAAATAAAAAATTAGCCAGGCGTGGTAGCGTGTGCCTGTAGTTCCAGCTACTTGGAAGGCTGGGGCGGAAGGATCGCCGGAGCCCAGCAGGTTGATGCTGGGGTGGCCGTGAGCGTGACACTGCACTCCAGCCTGGGCTACAGAGTGAGATTGCAACTCAAAAAACAAAAAGCAAAGACCCAAACCAAATTTCTAGAGACTAAATTACAATGTAGGATATGAAAAGTACACTGGATGAGATTGATGGTAGATTAAATATTGGAGAAGAAAAGTTTAGCTAACTTGAAGTATAGTAATAAATACTAGCTATTTTTAAAAAACTACCAAATATGGTTTCTCTGCCCTTTTCTCATCTCTTGCAAGTCATGATTAGCTTGTTCCTCATGTCCTTCCAGGGTCTGGATATACTGCTTATAATTGGCTTTCCTGTTGTCTCTTAATTCCTAATGTTTACTACATAGGAGTATTTACCTTGATCTTCATTGATTAGATCAGCAATTTGCAACCTTTTCAGTGAAACTCTTTGTTCAAATAAGTGTCCCATGGGATTCCAATATATAAAAAACAGAGAAGTAGAGCAACTCTGGTTAAATAGGGGCAGGGAGCCTAAAATCTCATCTTTTTGGTCTGACTTTCACATGAGGAAAAATCCAATCTATCATCTTCAAAAAGCTCTGGAGCTAAATGAACACTTTATTTAAGCAGCTAGCCTGTTCTTGTAAATATGTTTCTTGTTTGAGTTATATCTTTGAACAAATGTTCCTAGGTGTCCCTCAATTTCAAGATATTTCTTCACGTCATGATCCTCCAGCTTTATTTTAATTATCTGTCAAGCAGTGAATGTATTTTTCTTCTTGTTTCATAACTGGGAATCATTGACTTTTTTCCCCAGTAGGAGAAGAAATAACTAAATATTCTTTGTAAGCAACAAAAGCATGAGTTGCTTAAAGATTAGCTATCTAGGTTTGAATGACAGCTTCACATTTTATTCACTAATTGATCTTGGACAGTTACTTAACCTCATTAAGACCATTTCCTCATCCATAAAATGAGGTTCATAATAAACTTTCCTGATAGACTTGTTATGGATTCAGTAAAATAACCCAGCTGTTATAGCAAGTAGTAAGCACTCAATAATAAATGTTAGGTATCATTATTAAGTAGATTCTGATATTCTAAAATTCTAATATATAGTCTACTTTTTAATATGTTTTTGCTTATTTAGGTACAAATGATGACAGAAAAATGGCATTCAAGCATGCTGCTCTCTTACACCTTCTGGTAACAGTTAGAGATGTCCTTTTAACCTGCAGCTTGGACACAGCATTGGGTTGGTGGTGAAAATTTTATTTCTCCTTTTATTTCTATTGAAATAGTTCATCTGAAACAACTTAATTTACTGAAAAAGGTACACCTTATAATAAATTATATAGCTCCCTTTTCTATTCTACTAAACATTATATACATGTTGGCGTGATTATAATGGAATATGTTTATTTTTCTATCTGTTTATGTTTATTACAAGAAATTGTCTTTAACAATCATCGTCACCTAGAAAAACAGGTTTAGGATTCCCTGATATAAGTATGAATTACAGAGTCCTAATTGCCGTAAGCAGATTTAATTTATAATCATTATGATGCACCACTTCTTTGAGTCAGGTTCTCAATGTGTCATCCAGGCTGGAGTGCAGTGGCACATCATGGTTCACCACAGCCTTGACTCAGGCGATCCTTCCATCTCAGCCTCTCAAGTAACTGAGACTATAGGCACACACCACCATATCCAGCCAAGTATATTTTTAAAACATATTGTAGAGATGGGGTCCTCCTATGTTGCCTAGACTGGTCTCAAACTCCTGTACTCAAGCAGTATTCCCACCTTGGCCTCACAAAGTACTGGGACTACAGATGTGACCCACCACATCTGGCCATCATGAACTACTTTTTTTTTTTTTTTTTTTGAGTTGGAGTCTCACTCTGTCGCCCAGACTGGAGTGCAGTGGCCGCTCCCGGCCACCGCAGCCTTGACCTGCTGGGCTCTGGCGATCCTTCCGCCTCAGCCTTCCGAGTAGCCGGAATTACCGGCATGCGCTACCACGCCCAGCTGATTTTTTGATTTATTGTAGAGATGAGGTCTCGCTGCCCAGGCGGGCCTCGAACCCGCGGGCTCAGGCAATCCACTCACCTCAGCCTCCCAAAGGCGCGGGATTACAGGCTGAGCCACCGAGCCCGGCTATGAACTAACTACTTTTTAATGTGAAGTTTGACATTTTGCTATGCATATTTTAGGTCCTCATTACACATCTGTGTGTTTGAACCTTTGCTAGATATAACTAAAATATAAAGAGTAAGAACTTTTGAAATTTCTTCTTTAGTTGTTTCTAAATTAGGATATGACTAATGAGTATAAAACAAACTGTATTGAGTATAAAACAAACATATTGGAAATTTTAAAGATTTTAGAAATTTTTTCTAAGCCTTCAAAATATCTATCATACTACATTACTGTTTTAGGCCTCTTACTGCAGAATTATTTAGACTTCTTTAGTAATGGTATGCTTATGGGATTATATTTTACAATTTAGAGTTTCTAGACCCTATTTCAAATATAAAGTGAAAATAATATTTCTCTGATCTAAGACTCAGAAGTTTTCCCTTACCTGTGACCCAGATGTAAATATTATTTCTCTAATCCAGGGTTTTAGTAAGTGTCAGGCAGCAGTGAATTACAATTATACCTTCTCTAAAGCACTAGGACCAGATATTCTAGATCCTGATATTCTGCTTTACTATTATAAATAATAGTCAGCCTCACTGTTTGTAGAACTGACAATCTTTTATGGAAACTGAGAAGTATAAGGAAGATGGATGATTAAATAAAAGGGCATGTGACACTATACTCTTGTATTTGTTTAGGGTACTATAAACTAGGATTGTAGCACTTAATCCTTACTTGTCTGAGGATGGAGATATGACAACATGATCCAGAATCAATACTGAACTGAAGAAGAAAGGAAAAACACCATGTTGGGCTTTCTAAAAGTAGCTGCGGCTTAATTATAATACTTGGTCAAGTATGTAACCTAGCCAAGTACAGTATGTTCAATACTTATCAAAACCTTGAATTAGAGAAATAATGTTTATGGAAGATTGCTTGAATAATATTTGCCTTTAAGTGCTCTATACTTTGCCCTGGTTAAGTGAGACCATTGAGAGCTATGTACTTGGACTTAATTATTTTTGCTCCTCTAAGAAATGCATTTACTAAATTATACTTTGGCATTACTATTTGGCTACCTTGAGGAATACTGTACAAATAAGATTCTTGTTGGAAAACTTCTTAAGCTCTAGGTATCAAGCCATAATGAATAACCTAGTTGCCTTGGACATTTTAAGTAGAGGGCTTTCTCACTCCTCTAAACCTCTTGAACGGAAATTAAGTTGTCCTCCTATCTCTCTGTGCAATGGCAGAAGAAAAAAATCCATGGAGGTCTACTTGCCTGTCCAGTTCACTCCCAAAATTTTTTTTTTTTTTAAGTCAGAGTCTCACTCTGTCGCCCAGGCTGGAGTGCAGTGGCACACTCACAGCCACCCCAACATCAACCTGCTGGGCTCAGGTGATCCTTCTGCCTAGCCTTCCAAGTAGCTGGAACTACAGGCGCATGCTACAGCGCCCGGCTAATTTTTAAATTTTTGTTGTAGAGACGAGGTAGAGCCTCATCTTCTAGGTTAAACCCCAGAAGGAAAACTATACTTTGAACCGTAAAATGCATTCCTTTACTAGCTTAGGAAAGGCAGAAAACTGGAAGCAGGGGGAAAATATAGAATGCTGGGAGTGGGCCAGGCTCGGTGGCTCAGCCTGTAATCCCAGTACTTTGGGAGGCCGAGGCGAGTGGATTGCCTGAGCCCGTAGGTTCAAGACCAGCCCGGGCAACTTGGTAAGACCTTGTCTCTACAATAAAAATAAATATAGCCGGGCATGGTAGCACGCATCTGTAGTTCCGGCTATTTGGAAGCCTGAGGTAGAAGGATCGCCGGAGCCCAGTAGGTCCAGCCTGGGCCAAGGAGTGAGACTCCAACTCAAAACAAGAATGCTGGGAGTGGCCCGGGCGTGGTGGCTCAAGCCTGTAATCCCAGCACTTTGGGAGCCCAAGGCGAGTGGATTGCCTGAGCCCGCGGGCTCAAGACCAGACCGGGCAACTTGGCTAGACCTCGTCTCTACAATAAATAAAAAATTAACCTGGCATGGTAGCGTGCACCTGTAATTCTGGCTACTTGGAAGGCTGAAGCGGAATGAATCGCCGGAACCCAGCAGGTTGACGCTGGGGTGGCCATGAGTATGCCAGGGTACTCTGGCCTGAGCAACGGGGTGAGATTCCAACTCAAAAAATAAAAATAAAAAAATAATAGTTTGCCAGGTAAAGTATAAAAGAGTATTCTAGACAGAATTAAAAGCATAGAGGAATGACCCAATGGTTGTGTTACCTACAGTTCCATGTGATTAGATTGAAGAGGACATGGCAGAAAGCAACAGGAGCTAAGCCAGGAGACATAAGAAAGCCAAATCATGAAGAGCTAAAGCTACACAAAAGGGTTTCATGGGTACTACTGAATTAAATTTACTTTTCAAAAGGATAAAGCTGATGGCAGTGTGAAGAATCAGTGCACCTGAAGACTAGGAGGCAGAAAGAATTTAAGTCAATTTCTAAGTTGCCCATCAGTTTAGCAATTCTAACATAAAATTTTGTATTAGAATTAACACGTACATACCCATAAAACATATGAACATAAACATTAAATTTTTAAAATTTATTACTTAAATATTTATTAAACACCTGATCTACATAATTTACTAGATCTATGTAAGTTACTAGGTTCTGTATTGCTTGGTAATTCATAAAATTCACTGTGCAGCAGAATCACATGGAGAGCTTTTTAGACATAGAAATCGTTAGGACAAAATCTAGAGTCCCTGAATATGAACCTTCAAGGATGAGTCTCAGGAGTATGTGTTTAAAAATTGCCTTTAGTGAGTCTGAATTTATTCATTGCTGTTTTAGCAGCTATACAAATTATGTATAAATACCATGTATTCTACCCTGAAAGCTTATAGGCTAATTAAATCATATACATAACCAAAAATCAAGTACAAAAGTCATATAAATAAAATACCAAGAAAATTCCAGTTAAATAGCATTTCAACAGGACTTGCATGTAAGTATAGATCTTGAGATTTAGCAAAAGTACAATAGCATTCATCAAGCCAGGAGGCAGGAAAAGATAGGATATATATTCAGATTATATAGAGTATATACAGCCTCAACCTGCTGGGCTCTGGCAATCCTTCCACCTCAGCCTTCTAAGTAGCTGGAACTACAAGCGTGTACTACCACACCCGGCTAATTTTTTTGATTTATTGTAGAGATGAGGTCTTGCCAAGTTGCCCAGGCGGGTCTCGAACCCGCGGACTCAGGCAGTCCACTCACCTCAGCCTCCCAAAGCGTGTGTGCACAGGCTGAGCCACCAAGCCCCGGTTAGTCAGTATCTTTGATAGCCAGGCACAGTGGCTCACACCTGTAATCCCAGCACTTTGGGAGGCCAAGGCTGGAGGATTGCTTGAGTCCAGGAGTTCAAGACCAGTCTGGGCAACATAGCAAGACCTCAACTCTACAAAAAAATCAATAAATTAGCTGTACATGGTGGTGTGCACCTGTAGTCCCAACTTCTCAGGAGGATTGCCTGAACCCAGGAATCTGAGGCTCAATAAACCATGATCATACCACTGCACTCCAGATTGGGTGACAAAATAAGACGTCAACTCAAAAAATTTTTATCTTTGATAAAAACCAGAAAAGAGCAAAATTTTCTGATTCTTTCAGCCTTTTTACCATGTGTTTCTCAAAAAGCAAAAAGACATACAATTTTTTTCTAATTTTGCTTTAACAGGATATTTGTCAAATGCAAAAGATATCTACAGAAGCATTTTAGGCTCCTATTTGGATGACGTTTGGAGGCAACTGGAAATTGTACAGTTTATTAGGGAAAAAAAGCCGGAAACCAACTACAAGATACAAGAATTGCAATGTCAGATACTAAGTTGGATGCAAAGTCAAGAGCATATTAAGGTTAAGTAGTATGGAATAAAGCAAATACAAGTAATCAATTTAAATAAGAATTGGATATAAAATAAATGTTTTCATTTAATTTTGAAATTATTAAATATTGTATGCTATTTAGCCACTTGGTAGTTTCCTCCTTAAATAAGGTAACAGAATAGAATCAGACCAGAGAAAAGATGATTGGCATCATTATTCATATGTCTTGAATTTTTAAAATACTTCCATTTTTAGCAGGGTGCAGTGGCTCACGCATGTAATCCCAACACTTTGGGAGGCGGAGGTGAGAGGATTGGTTCGAGACCAACCTGGGCAACTTGGCAAGACATCGACTCTACAATAAATCAAAAAATTAGCCAGGCATAGTGACATGTGCCTGTAATTCCAGCTACTTGGAAGGCTGAGGTGGTAGGATCACCTGAGCCCAGCAGATTGAGGCTGCAGTGGCTGTGAGCATGCCACTGCACTCCAGCCTGGGCAACAGAGTGAGATTATAACTCAAAAAAAAAACAACAACAAAAACTTCCATTTTTATTATACACAGTTTTCTATAGATTAATTCTCCAGTTGTCAAAAATGTTGTCTGGTACTGTAAGTCCATGGGCATATATATATACAATAATAGAGCTACAATAATTTATTTTTAAATCTTGAGCCAGAATATCATCATAAATGATTCTACCAAAAAAAAGTACTTTATTTATGTCTTAAATTACACTGGATAGTAATTGCTCACCTACATCAAGCATATGAAGATTGTTATTGCAGATTAAAAAGAAAATGTTTCTTAAAATCTTCTCAAGCAGGAAAGTGTTTCAGATAGTTTATACTAAATCTAGACACAAATTTATATCCCTTTTTCTTCTTTTTCTCCTTTATGTTTAACCTCAACCTTAGAGTTTCTTGGGTAAATCTTTTAAGTATTAAAATAAGTTGAACCAGTAAGTGAGAAATTTAAAACTGAAACTGATTTGATGTACCTTATCCCCCCGCCCAAAAAGCTGTAATAATAAGTAGGAAACTATAGCACCAAATCATTGGTTTCATCAGCAAATTCAAACTTGTCTGGGTTGAATTTAACAGTAACAATATAGGCAGAGACAACTTATGTTGTGATACTTGAGGAATGCTAAAACTGCTCTGGCCCAAAATATTTTTTTCATCAATGTTTGATTTTACCAGAATATATTTCTTTGTATTTAAGCATTTGTATCTTTCACAACAAATATCTACTTTATAATTTTATTTCATTAGTTTCATGTGACCAATTAATTGTGTTATTTTGTCACTGTATCAAAACTGTGAAAAGAATAATAATTTATACAGATTATATATATGAAATTCATATTTTTGACTAGGCGCTGATTATAATAAGAATGGACTCAGATGTTGAAAAACATTTACTCATTAAAACCCTTAACAAAATGGAAGGTAGGAAGTTTTTAATTATGCTTCATTTGATAACAAATGTTTGAACTTATAAAAATGTGTTGCTCTGACTAGCTTTTAAAATTAAGATATAATTGACCGGGAGTGGTGACTCAGCCTATAATCCCAGCACTTTGGGAGGCCAAGGCAAGAGGATTGCCTGAACCTGGAGGTTCAAGACCAGCCTGGGCAACTTGATGAGACCTCATCTCTATAATAACTCAAAAAAAACTAGCCAGGCATGGTGATGTGTGTGTATAGTTCCAGCTACTTGGAAGGCTGAGGCAGATGGTTCACTTAAGCCCCGCAGGCCGAGGCTGCAGTGTGCCATGAATGTGCCACTGCACTCCAGCCTAGGTGACATGAGTGAAATGCCAACTCAAAAAAAAAAAATTAAGACATAATTAAATCCAAAATTAATCTTTAAAAGTGTACAGCTCAGTGGGATCTAACCAGTTTTTAAATCAATCTGGACTATAAGTATGCAATATAAATATACCACAATGTATTTGTATGTATTTGTTATTAATAATTGATACCTTTTATTGGTTGCCTATTAGTTGCTAACCTGGCTACTTACCACTTTATGAATACCTTTTATTAGCTCAGTTTTACACATAAGGAAACTAAAGTCCATAAGGGTGGTGTAGCATGCCAAGTCTCTCTTGTTTCAGTGTCATTCTCAATTCTTTGATTCTTTTGTCTGTTTTCCTTCCTCACTACTTTTTACTCACTACTGCCCCTTTTCTCATCCTTTCCACTTGGTGCTGTGGAGCCCATTTCTTATATGTAAACTCTTCTCCTTCTACATCTCCCTTATCTTAACTCCGTCCCCTGTATCCCTTTCATATAGATTTTTTTCTCTCTCTCCATATATACATATATGTATATATATACTGAAAAAGCCATTTCTTGCTTTCTGTCATCATTTCCAGAGCATTATTCCCCCATCCTTTGAGGCTGTGCCACATTGCCATCATCTACTGACCACCTGGTCATTTCCCATCATCCAAAGACAGTTGTATACCTGGCTCATGGCACTTTCTGCACTCCTAATGCTGATATTATCCTAGATGTCTTTAATGCCTCTAATGTGATTCATTCGACACCCTGGCCTTGTAGGCCACAACAGAAATATATTCATCTTCATTTCTCTCCTTTACTATGCCATGGAACTTGTGATCATGCAGAACTGTCCTACCTCTGAACTTTAAGCTCTGCTACATTGCTCTTTGTCTGTAGCTACCTCTAGATCTTTTTGTTATCTTCAACATCTTAGAGATCTATGATCTGCCAGCTTCTTTTTTGTTTCTTTTTTCTTTTCTTTCCAAACTCAGTGATTTGGCCCATCACTTTAACCAGTCTTGTCCTTCTATTATACTTTCCATTTAAACTTCAACCTTAAATCAATCAATACATTTAACATTTCTATTTCTATGCCTGAGATACTGAGCACTATTAGAGAAAAATTATATATCCATGTAGATTTGTGCTACTACAAATTCATGTCCTTGGAACTTACCTGGGCTCTTAATACCTCTTAACAATATTTCTATATATTATTAGTTCTATTCCTATTTTCCTAATGACTATACCAAAAACCCCTACCATGCTACTCATTCTCTCATTTTTGGAAGAGAATTATGCCTTCTTGCTTTCATTAATCAGGTGAGAATTCTCAGTTTTCCTTCTCTACCATCTACAAACTTACCTTTATTTCCTTCCATTCTTTTCTCTGTAGAGGAAGTGAACCTTCTTCCTTTAAAGACCAGTCTTTCACTTGTGTTTTGGATGCTATCTCTTCCTGCAGTCTCAAGCACTTTGTTCCATCAGTTATTATCTAGCCCAGGCTTTCTCTCTAATAACTCTTTTCCTTAATTTTAAGGCCAAGTCAAATAATTAAAGTAAAAATAAAATAATTACAGACTACCCTCAACCTATGTCACCCTTTGGTTATTATTTCTCTTCCTTCTATAAACTGCATCTTCTGCCATATTCATCTTCTAAAATATGAATAAATGAGTAAAATATGAAAATGAGTAAAATATCTTTACTCTTACCTTACCAAGCTATTTATCATGCTGTTTCATATCTCCATGCCTTTATACCTCCTGTTCCTGCTATGAGAATGCTCTTCCCCCTTGTTTAGGAAGCTAACTCCTACACATTCTCCAAAAATTATTTAAAACATTTATTCAGAAAGTTTTTACTTGAATGCTTTTCCTCTGTGCTTTGAGACATTGTGTGCATACTTCTAAGGTAGCTTAGCACTCTAGGCTATAATAACTGATTCTCTTATCTGTTTTCCTCACTAAAATGTCAACTTCTGACGTATAAAGATCATACCCTAATTTTTGTTCTCAGCATTCAAGAAAATGCCTACAACATAGAAAGCACTCAGTAAAGGCTTATTGAAGAAATAAATGAGTCAATGAATGCTCCTTATATGAAGAGGAACCAAAAAGAACCCCAGAATTTATTTATAAAATATTGTGTATTTATTCTTACATGTTAATTAATTAGTTTGTTTGTTTGTTTATTGAGCCAGAGTCTCACTCTATCACCCAGGTTGGAGTGCAGTGGCAGTGCACTCATGACCACTGCAGCCTCAATCTGCTGGGCTCAGGTGATACTTCCACCTCAGCCTTTTAAGTAGCTGGAACCACAGGCATGTGCCACCACGCCTAACTTGTTTTTTGATTTATTGTAGAGATGAGGTCTTGCCATGTTGCTCAGGCAAATCTTGAACTCCTGAGCTCAGGAAATTCTCTCGCCTCTGCCTCCCAAAGTGCAAGGATTACAGGCATGAGCCACCATGCCCAACTATTCTTACATGTTTAAATATCAGTCACCTTCAAAGTACTCTCCGCTTGATGCAATACAACTATTGAGACAGTTTTTACTGCTCAAAACAGTTTCTGAACTCGTCAGTTTTGATGACTTTTAGTGCTTTCTGTCATCTTTTGTTTCATCTCTTCCACATCAGCAAAACATTTCCCTTTGAGGACTTTTTTCATCGGGGGAAACAACAAAAAGTCACTTGGGAGGTGACCAGGTGAATAGGGAGGGTGGGGCATGGGGGTCATGCCATTTTGGGTCAAAAATTGCTGAACACTCAACTTGACGTAGGCAGGTATGTTGTCATGGTGGAAGAACCAGTCACCTGTTTGCCACAACTTGGGTCACATTCTTCTGCATGTCATGATGCAGCCTTCTCAAAACTTCCAGATCAAAACTTTGGTTGTGGCCAGGTGCGGTGGCTCAGCCTGTAATTCCTGCACTTTGTGAGGCTGAGGCAAAAAGATTGCCTGAGCCTAGGGGTTCGAGACCAGCCTGGGCAACTTGGTGAGACCTCACCCTACGATAAATCATAAAAATTAGCCGGGTGTGGTGTACATGCCTGTAGCTTCAGCAACTTGTAAGGCTGAGGCAGAAGGATCCCCTAAGCCCTGCAAGTTGAGTCTGCAGTGGCCATGAGTGTGCCACTGCACTCCAGCGTGGGCAACAGAGTGAGACTCTAACTCAAGAAACAAACAAACAAACAAAAAACAACTTTGGTTGATCACTTGATCTGGATGAACAAATTCTGATTATACTACAAGGGACCTGCCCTCCAAAAGAAAATTCCGGTTATTTTTGTATCCCCTTGTATATCTGCTACATACTGAAACTAGTGAAAAAAATTGAACTGAAATATATACAATATAGCAACAAATATCTGGTCATCAGGGCAGGTAGTAAAGTTAACTATATATGTATATTTTTAAGCCTGGAATTTATTTATTTAAAAATTGTGTATTCTTACGTGTTTAAACTTCAGTCACTTTTAACGTACTCTCCATTTGTGCAACACACCTATAGAGGTGCTTTTTCCACTGCTCAAAACAGTTTTTGAACTTGTCAACTTTGATACCTTTTATTGCTTCTGCCATTTTTTGCTTCACTTCTTCCATATGGGTGAAACATTTCCCTTTGAGGGCTTTTTTCACCTGGGGAAACAAAAAGTCACTAGGGATGAGATCAAGTGAATAGGGAGGGTGAGGCACAAGGTTCCTGCTGGGTTTTTTGGTCAAAAACTGCTGAACATTCAGCGTGGTGTGAGTGGGTATGCCCCTAAATCACCCATCATGAAATGGGCAAATGCATTGAAAGAATAGCCAAAAAAAAAAATTCATTGAAGTCGAAGGCAGCCTCTCACAGCAGTGCTAACTGGTACACTGATGCCAGTAGGTCCCTAGCACACATATCTAGTGGGAGAAGCAGGTACTACAAGGGGTCCACCCACAAAAATATAGTTCCATTTTTTTGGAGGGTCTCCCCTTGTATACCAATGTGAGAATGGAAAGCTCTTTCAAGCAGAGCCTTGTAAGATACTGTTTCTTTCTTTTTTTTTTTTGAGTTGGAGTCTCACTCTGTCGCCCAGACTGGAGTGCAGTGGCCGCTCCCGGCCACCGCAGCCTCGACCTGCTGGGCTCTGGCGATCCTTCCACCTCAGCCTTCCGAGTAGCCGGAATTACAGGCATGCGCTACCACGCCCGGCTGATTTTTTTATTTATTGTAGAGATGAGATCTCGCTGCCCAGGCGGGTCTCAAACCCGCGGGATCAGGCAATCCACTCACCTCAGCCTCCCAAAGGCATGGGATTACAGGCTGAGCCACCGAGCCCGGCTAAGATACTATTTCTTAATGAAGTTACCATATGCCCAGAGTCCAGATTTGCAAGCTTGGATCATGTTGATTGTTTCATTCAGTTTTCCAGTCCTGGAAAATGAGTTCATATTTGCCAAATTCACATAAGAGCATTACTTGTACCAAAATGTTAGAGCAATAGTTAACAATTTGGGACTGAGATTGCCACAGTTGTTTAGAATCAGGGTAATTGGAAACATTTAAAAAAAAATCAGGGAAGTGCTGAGCAGTGTTAGCATTATAAAACTAAGGGATTTGGATAACCAAAGGAATACTTTTATGAAGAAGCTAAGGAAATATTCCTGCCCCACTGAGAAAAATACTTAAACCTGCTTGATGGGGCACCTTCTCCTTTGATGTCACTTACAATGCATTGGCAGATTATTATTCTGTGCCTCTTCTTATCTAGGCTTCATGCTGAACACCCTTGTTTCTTTTGACATTTGGGATTATATCATTACTATTCTTGTTATCTTCATTTCAGCGAAGTCTACTGACATAAAAATATTGAATTTAGGGCCGGGCACAGTGGCTCACACCTATAATCCCAGTTCTTTGGGAGGCCAAGGTGAGAGGATTGCCTGAGGTCGTGGGTTTGAGAGCAGCCTGGGCAACTTGGTGAGACCTCATCTCTACAATAAATTAAAAATTAGCTGGGCGTAGTGGTGTGTGTCTGTAGTTCCAGCTATTTGGAAGGCTGGGGTAGAAGTATCACCTGAACCCAGCAGATCAAGGCGGCGGTGGCTGTGAGCATGTCACTGCACTCCAGTCTGGGTGACAGAGTGAGATGCCAACCCCCAAAAAACATATTTGAATCTATAAACTGGAAAATGTTTTTGCTCTTTTTCAGACTGACAACAATCCTCAGTTTCTAGGATCTAGGCCTTTTTTTTCTGTCTAGTGTTAGGAAGTACAAAGGTGGTTCCATTTTCTATGTGTTTGCAAACTCTAGTAATGTGCTTATCAAGTAATTAATCTGCTTTGGGATCATGGCATATACAAATCATGAAGTAGATTAGGTTTTAAATAATATGAATTGCCTTATGAATTATAAAAGAGAAATAGTACTCATTCCTTATCTCTTCCAGAACTATTGTTGTGGCAAGTACAGTCACATGAAATTGTTAACCATTACACTGTCATTATTGCATCACATGTGGACTTTACAATTGATAAAAGTACTAACAGAATATATAGAATGCATTTGAAGTAGAGTTAGCTATTCTTGATTCAATTATATCTATCAAAAATAAACTGTGGGGGATTACAGGATTTTTAGAAATTTATTATATTTTGTTTAAACATTAGCAAGTTAAGAAATTTTAGTTATAACTAAAAAGCAATAATAAATTAAGAAACAGATGGTACCCAATAAGTCCTCTGCTTTTTATACAACCAGTAGAAAGAGAGAAAAAAAGCATTGCTATCACATTGAAATAGTCTCTTGCTATTTAGTTATGTACTTAAATTTTTGGCTAGAGAAAAACAATGAAATTTACCATAATTTTTAGCAAACTAAAATTAACTGCACAGGACCAGCCACACCTGTATTCCCACTGCTTTGGGAGACTGAGGTGGGAGGATCCCTTGAACCCAGGAGTTCAAAACTAGTCTAGGCAACATAATGAGACCTCATCTCTACAAAAAAAAAAAAAAATCAAAAAATTAGCTGGGCCTGGTGTCATGTACCTGTAGGACCGGCTACTCAGGAGGCTGTGGCAAAAAGATCACCTGTGCCCAGGAGATCGAGGCTGTGGTGAACTATGATTGTGCCACTGCATTCCAGCCTAAGTGATAAAGTGAAACCTTGACTCAAAAAAACAAAACAAATTAACTGCACAGGATTGGTGAGTGCTTAATTCGCTTACCTTAAAGTTAAGTTTTTGATTAATTTTTATTATTTTTACATAATAAATTTAGAATTTTTATGCTTTCCGAATGTATACACATGAGAAATAATTGCCTATGCTAGACTTAGAAAAATAGTTCAACAAATTGTATTTTAAGCAGCTTTCTTATATACAGGTTTTTAATTCATTCTTATGATAGAGAAATATATCACACACATACCAAAAAAAGTATCTGTGCAAAACATTGAAAAAACTTTTATATCACTTTTTTCCAACAGGTGTAACATTGACTGTACTTCATTCAAATCAAAGAAAAGATTTTCTGGAATGTAAAGGTGTTTTAAAAGGGTAAAAGTTTATTTCTTATAATTTTTGGGAAACAAATACACTACTTCTATAAGAAAAGCAAATTTCTCCTGGAATTTGACTTTAACAAATCTGAAATTAATCAGTATGTCTAGCCTTTTCCTGAAAAATGCCGTCATTTCTTTGTGTATTATATATTATTAGTGTCCATAAATTTAGTTCAATCTTATTTTAATACCCTCAAATTATCATTGTTATTGTTAGTACAGATGTGCCTGTTTAGACTATATATAATTTTTGCCGTTTTCTTTGCTCAACATTATTTTTTACATCTCATTTCTTATGGGTTCTCCTTTCTGAAGTGCATCCTTTAGAAATTCTTTTAGTGAGGGCCTGCTAACAATAAATCTAGTGTTAAATTTTCTTAAAAGTTTTTATTTTGCCTTATTTTACATAGAAATTATTTATTTCTAATACTAGGATACAAATAGTAAAAAAGGTATATATCAAATAGAAGCCCATAAAAACTAGGCATAAATACTTTTACATTACAGACTGTTCAATTTTAATTATAGTTAAGTATTATGTTGTATGAAATTCAAAGATAGCAAAGCAAAACTTATGTTGTTTAAGTATCCAACTTTCTGTTGTTAAATCACTAATGAAGTCCATTGAGAAAAAAACCATTTCAAAGTTGTCAGACAATATTTTATTATATGGATTCACAAAGATTAAAATCTAACATTTGTAAGCAAATGAGATTGACTTCTCATGCAGATTTCTGTAGTTGATAGTACTCAGTAATAAAATCATGGTCTCTCACATTGAAATAGTCTATAGTTTTGTGTGTGTGTGTGTGTGTGTGTGTTTTGCTTTCCTTTTAATTTCTCAAGACTGTTTCATGTATGTTATATAGTTTTTTATAACCTGGTATTTTTTAGAAAGCATGATCATCAAAAAGAAAGCTATAGTCCAGACACAATGGTTCATGTCTATAATCCCAGCACTTTGGGAGGCCAAGGCAGAAGGCTTGCTTGAAGCCAAGAGTTCAAGACCAGCTTTAACAACAAAGCAAGACCTTGTTTCTACAAAAATTTTAAAAGTTAACCAAGCATAGTGGCACATACCAGTAGTCCCAGCTACTCAGAAGTTGAGACAAGACAGTCACTTGAGCCCAGGAGTTTGAGACTGCAGTGAGCTATGATCGTGTGGCTATACTCCAGCCTGAATAACAGGCTTTCTTGTCTGAAAGAAGGAAGAAAGGGCGGGAGTGAAGGGGGAAAAGAAAGAAAAGAAATTAACACAAGTGAAGAAAATACACCAGTGCCTTTCCAAGATGAATAGGCATAGATTAGAGAAGAATAGAACAGCCACAAACAGTCATCTTTTAGCATTCTAAGTAGATAATGACACAAGTATAATTCCATTTTCTTGACTTTCTTTTGTTTTCAGTACAATTTCCTGTGTAGTTGTACATAACCAATATATTGGAGCAGATTTCCCCTGGAGTAATTTCTCATTTGTGGTGGAATACAATTATGTGGAAAACTCTTGTTGGACTCAGCACTGCAAAGAGTTGAATATCCCTTACATGGCCTTTAAAGTGATTCTTCCAGACACAGTTTTAAAGAGTAAGGATATGAACCAAAACCTTTTTTTTACTTCATTAGAATGAAAATTTTCTCCTTTCTGTTTATCGTCTATAAAAAAAATTAAGCTGAGGTATTAGAAGATTTAGAGTTTGAACTAACCTCACCACTGTGTGTGTGATCTTGGGCAGGTCCTTTAACTGTTTTTTTTTAACCTTATATTCCTCATCTGTAAAGTAAGTTTCACTAATTATATATCTTCATCCGCTTATCTAACTTCTAAATTTTCCTTATAGTAGCACAGTTTTATTATAATTATAGACAACCAGATGCTTTTATGCAGTGCATTTTTATTGATATTTAGGGAAAATTGTATAATAGTGTACTTACTGAAAAATTTTAATATGCAAAACAATTTTAATATGCAAAAATGATCAACAAATACTTAAAGAAGGTCTAAACTTCATATGTCACTTTATTTCATTGTATTTGTCAGCAACGCTTCACATAACTAAACTGTGTCTTCTCAGATCCATAAATCTCATATATTTTTAATCTCAGTGCATCTCCCAATACTTGCCATAAGTTATTATAAATTATTTCTATCCACCTCAAATATGAGTGGGAATTCTAAATAGATTCTGAGACATCCCAACTCAATTCTAAAAATTCAGTCACCATAATTGTTTCTTTTTTCTTTTTCTTTCTTTTTTTTTTGGAATTAGAGTCTCACTCTGTCGCCCAGACTGGAGTGCAGTGGCCGCTCCCGGCCACCACAGCCTCGACCTGTTGGACTCTGGCAATCCTTCCGCCTCAGCCTTCCAAGTAGCTGGAACTACATGCGTGCGCTACCACGCCCATCTCACTTTTTGATTTATTGTAGAGATGAAGTCTCGCCAAGTTGCCCAGGCGGGTCTCAAACCCGCGGGCTCAGGCAATCCACTTACCTCAGCCTCCCAAAGGGATGGGATTACAGGCTGAGCCACCGAGC